GAGAATCAATCGAGTTTTGACAAGTATAAGAATGAAACAGAATGACTAATGGTAGAAAGGAATATGAAAGATTACAGAGACTGAATACATCTGCGTAAGCCAAGCCATTGACAACGATTTTGAGCCATGTCACCTAGTGTCTCCAGAGCCATTGATTCTTAGAATCCTGAGGGCGGGCCCCAACCTGGAAGTCTGCATCTCCCTCCCTACCTGACTCAGTTTAACTGTCAAGGATTTCATGGATTGATGATGCCATGTTTTTGTTTGGCCACCACTTACTCTTTTCCAACCTGCACCTATATCAGCTAGTAATGCCCGTCGGGAGGGGGAGGCGATGGTTAGGCATGCGCACCACGTGACCTGGCCATCTCAATCTATGTAACTTTATAGCCTCGTCGATTGATTTTCCCTCTTTGCCCAACACTCTACGCCTGACGACAACATTACTTACCTTATTATACCACCTAACGTGAGAAAGAGATCGTAGACATCTATGATGACAAACAGTCAACCTTTTCATGTCTTCAACTCGTATTGGCCATGTTTCAGAGCCAGCCATAGAGAAGGACGGAGCGAACTGATGAGCAGTACACACGTCCCTTGGTTGATATCCGGATGTCACGCCTACGCCAGAGAGAAATTTCAGGCTAGATAATCAGAAATCATTGAAGCAGTCTTCACAAGGATCGGAAATGTTATTCTGAGGTCGAGCAGCACTTCGGTCCAGTTCATCAACCGGAAAGTTTAAATCTAATTAAATAGTTTCGTAACGCTATGTTATATTGTTTCTTAAAGCTCCTTACTGGTTATTCCTTTATAGAAAATGTAAACATTGATGTCTGGGTTATAAAATCAGGTTGGGTGTGAGTGAGGGCAATTACTCGCCACCGAAGACACTCGCTAACAGTCACGCCATATCATGAATTGGTAGAAGTTGAAATTCATGGACACTGGTCATTGGATCGGGTCCCAGTGGCTTAATGGTCTACAAGCTGACTCGCCTTGTAACCAGAAGAGTCCAAAACTAGGACGAAACAGTTGGCTATCCAGTACTCCCTGCAGGTTTTCCTGCGGTTCTCTAACGGGATGTCATTTCATGATGAAATCCCGAAACCAATGAAATCCCTGCAAATCGACACTTGAATGGAGTCAATGTTGTTAATGGTTTCTCAGTTCTTTAAGATAATTTTCGTTTAATGGTTATTAAAGGAGATGTGCTACTGATAAGATTTTGTGAGTAGTATATTGATGATGATGGCTGCTGCAAGAATCTTGGATCACAGAGAGAGATAGATCAAGTTGCAAAGAAGATAAATGAAGATGATTGTGAAGCGCCAAGAGAGAAAACACTGGCTGATTTGATGAATGACAAAAGAAACAGAATATGCCTAACTTTTGGAAATTGAAGTTTCATTGGAGAGTTTTTGTATTTGTGCCATCACCGTACCACCGCCATTCTACCACATGAACCATTCACAATAATCTTCATTTCTCCTAATTTGTAACTTACTCCATCGTTCCACTGTTGAAGATCCTTGCAGAAGACTTCATCAATAGACTACTTACAAGTTGTTGTCAGAAGCGCATGCGCTAAGGGTGCACTAGGTGGCGGTTAACCACTTAATGACAGAAAACAATCGATTTCAAACTGTGTCTCCTCTGGAATAAAGCTCGACTTATTGAAATATGATTGGTTATTATATTATTATTATTCCATTGGGTTCCTAGTGGAACATAGGGCTTCAACTGCACGTCTCCACTTGCTTCTGTCTTCTGCTGTACTTTTCACTTGCATCCATGTTAATCCATACTGTTTCAACTCCTCTTCACACGATCTCCTCCATGTCACTCTTGGACGTCCCACTCGAGGGCCTGACGCGCGATGTCACCCGGTGGCCTCCTCAGCGAGTGTCCAATCCATCTCCACTTTCTCCTGCATATTTGTTGGGCGATTGGTTCTTGTTTTGTTTGTTCCCATAGTTTCTTGTTGGTGATTCTTTCCGGCTATCTGATCTTGAGTATAGAGCGAAGACAGTTAGTTGTTGATAAAGGTGTGCAACAGGCTGTTGGAAATATTCTTTGTGACACACTGGCCAAGTTTCTGATCCGTATAGAAGAACTGACCGACTTGACGTTTGTATTGAAAATCCGAATTTTGTTGTTGTTGTTGTTGTTGAGGAGTGACGAAGATTTCCAGATTGGTTTCAGGTTGATGAATGTGTTTCTCGCCTTCCCGATTCTCGATTTGACATCCTCGTGCGTTCCTCCTGTAGTTGAGACAATGCTCCCTAGATAAGTGAAAGAAGTAACCTCTTTCAAATCCTTCCCGTTGATGGTGATTGGTACTGGATGTTGCTGCTGTTGTTGTTGTTGTTGGTTGGTTATTTTCATAACCTCCGTCTTGTCTCTGTTCACCTGGAGTCCTGTCTTTGCTGCTTCTTTGACCAGTTTGTCGGTTTTCGCTTGTAAGTCTTCGATTTTGTGTGACATCAAGCATAAATCATCCGCAAAATCCAGGTCTTCTAGGTTCTTCATGTCGGTTATTAATATATCCTTTCATTTCATGTAATTAACTGATTAATTAATTAGTTAAATGATTAAAATGCCCATTAAAGGTTTTTCAAAAGACTGGCTACTGAACAAGGAATATTCTTTTCGATAACCTCTTCTTCATCATCAGTTTCTACAGTTATATATACATATAATAGTGAATGAATGAATTAGTGTTATGAACAACATTAATGCTGTTTAAATAAAATCGAATCAGTAATATCAGTGGAATACAGTTCAATAGAATCAACATAGCAATAAATTGAATGTCAGAAAAGTTAAGAAAGATAATAATACAAATTCATGAATTTATAGTCTCCACTGAAGGCCGGACAAGGCAGTTGTAGTGGCTGGCTGGACTTGCTTCTTCTGCACACAGAGAACCGGATGCTTAAGGCGAATTGCAATAGCCTCTGCTGTTTGGAGTATGCGGTACATGGATGTTTTTGGCAATTTATCTGGTACTCAATAGATGGATGATAGAGAAGGATTCTTCCACGCTGGCCTTGTTGCCGTCCGGTTTGGACCAGGTGTTCTAATATCGAACTGTTGATTGTTATTACTACACCTTTACTTAGTCACACTGCGGGATGTTCCCTAGAGAGCAACGGTCAATGTAAATATTCACTATTACGTATGTATATATAACTGTAGAACCTGATGATGAAGGCATTATCGAAAAGAATATTCTTTGTTCAGTAATCATTCTTTTAAAAAATTAGTTAAATGTTCAACCTTCTTTAACTATTGTCAACCAACCAACTGAACAATTAACCACTAGATAAGTTCAGTTTTATTCGACTCGCAGTTTTGAATTATTCTGTTGGTGGAAAATATCGACTAAGGTTTTGTTTAGTATCACAGATCTCGAGTAAGGCGTTGTGGCCGCAAATCTTTGAAAAAAAATCTGAGGACGTTCCTGACGGACTTTGGATCTGGGGTGGAAACTATCGAGATTCAGGAGCTAGTCGTTTTGGGGACTCTATGAAATAGTTGGCGGGGGGGGGGGGGAGGGAGAAAGCTACCTATGACACTTCATAAGAGACTAACGGGGAGGCGTCGTAGGTGACAGTCGTTGACTGGCTGTTTGTGGAAATTGACACTTGTTGATCACGGATTGATATCAGTTAGAGAACCATTGAAAACCAGGGAGTACTGGACAGCTGCTGTTTCATCCTAGCGCTTGGAAATCATTGCCAGTACACACCCACTGGGATTCGAACCCAGGACCTTCCGGTTACAAGGCAGGCTAGCTCGTATACCATTCAGCCACTGGGATCCGATTCAATGGCTCATGAATTCTAACTTCTACCCATTCGTGATTTAGCGCGACTCCGACCATTGTCGTTGGTGGGACATCCATCCACACACGTGACATGTAATTGGACCTCACTGGTCACGACTTCTCACTAGAACTCCAGGAAACTCCATCCTGTAGCAAGTCACTAGCAAGCATCAGATTAATTTTCTATAGTTTGGTTTGTAAGAGAAGTGAGAAGTCGTGATCAGTGAGGTCCAATTAGATGTCACGTGTGTGGATGGATGTCCCACCAACGACAATGGTCGGGGTCGCGCTAAATCACGAATTGGTAGAAGTTAGAATTCATGAGTTGGTCATTGAATTGGGTCCCAGTGGCTGAATGGTATACGAGCTAGCCTGCCTTGTAACCGGAAGGTCCTGGGTTCGAATCCCAGTGGGTGCGTACTGCTGATGATTCTCAAATTAGAGTGAAACAGCAGCTGTCCAGTACTTCATGGTTTTCAGTGGTTCTCTAACTGATATCAATCCGTGACCAACTCGTAAAAACATAACAGACCCTTACAAACCAAACTATAGAAAAGTTGTTTAGGAACCTGAAGCTTTATCAAGGTGGCTACCCACTGGTTTCGGTTATAAAGTTGATGAGTCTTCTGTGACTCACGTTATCCACCCAAGACGAATATTTAGTAGTGCAACTCCTAGCTGTCTAGTTTGTGGAATCCTTATCTACTGCAATCACTTATCAGCTGTAGTTAGTCAATGTAGCCCAGCTGACTGATGATGGTGAACGAAATGGTGAAGGTAACGACATAGTTGATATGAATCCTATGGTCTCGGAAGTGGTGAGTGAATGCCAAGGTTCTTGCGGATGATGTCACACAATATGCTACTTACTAATTCTAGTGAGTAGCACACACCACGCTTTCTATCTAACATCTCAAAATGCATGTACACATTGATGGAACAAATGGTCTAACTATTTTTTGAAGTCTTACACGGCTACTTCTCCCTCCCACCCGCCTGTATTTTCATATCAAATTAAACTGATTGTTGGTTTGTAGGGATTTGATTGGTTACAGGATTTTCATGATGAGCTGACATTAGTTAGAGAACCATTGGAAAAACTGGGAGTACTGGACAGCTGTTTCGTCCTAGTTTGGAACTCTTCAGCAATACGCACCCACCGGGAATCGAACCCAGTGGCTTAATGGTATACGAGCTCGCCTTGTAACCAGAATGCCCTGGGTTCGAATCCCGGTAGCTGCGTACTGCCGAAGAGTCCCAAACTAGGACGAAACAGCTGTCCAGTACTCCCAGGTTTTCCAATGGTTCTCTAACTAATGTCAGCTCATGATGAAAATCCCGTAAACTGATTGTCATTATGTAATAAACCATTGTAAAAATATTTGTTCGTGAAATTCAATCTAATTTCTCTTATCCTCTCGTTTCCTTTATGTTGCGTCTTTGTTGTTTACGCTGGCGCTGATGATAATCACATAATGTGATCTAATGATACTATGTGAATAAATAGATTCAGCGATTAACTATGCAATTGTATTCACTACAAGAAACTGTGAAGAGTTTACAAGCTTCACTAGCTGATCGTGACAGTGTTCTAGCTACAGCTACATCGGAACGCAGTGCTCTAAGTCGAGCTATGGAACAGAATAAAACCTTGAAACAACAAGTAACCGACTTGCAGGATGCCTATGCACAAATGGTATGTTATCAAAACACCTCATGTTTATTTTTTTTCCATTTTTTTTAATGTCGATAATCTGGTTTCGCTCTACAATATTGCCGTCTATAATTCGAAGTTAATTTTGGGGCCTATCTCTTTGACTGACTGACCGTGTGAATGACTCGTTTCCAGTATAGAGCTTTGCACAGGTATGCAACAGTTAGAGTTTCTACTTTTCCTCCAAGTAGCATACAAAGCAATAGGGGAGAGTAAAGTGAGAGATAATAAAGAGAAGTGTGAGTGAGGTGAAAAAAATAGTATAATGGGGAAGAACAATAGAATTCTCCTGGTTATTATGAGTCACACGAGAACGATTTTGAGCCATATCATCGATTGTCTCCAGCTGCCATTGGTTCCTACCATCGCGAAGACGCCAACCGGCTAGGAGGTCTACACTCACCTACGTGACTGCCTTAATCTAACTGTTGCGGGTTTCTCTGACTGATGAAGCCATGTTTTGGTTTGACCACCACTACAACTAGCTCTTTTCCAACCTGAGTGGTCCTATATCAGCTAACATTGCCCGTCGTCGGTCGAGGAAGGCGATGGCTGGGGGCATACATGCGTAGCACATGTCCTAACCATCTCAATCGATGTAACTTAACCTCGTCTATTGATTTCCCTTCCTTACCTAGCAGTCGACTGAGGCCTAATTTTACTATTACTCACCTTAATACGGAAGACAGAACGCCTATCTCTTTTGTATCAGTAGCCACCTGGATATTTCAATATCTAGTCAATTCCACACATGTTTATAAATGAAGGAAAAAGTTGTGTGAGTAATGTCTTGATATGATTATGAGTAGCAATAGTTTGTGCTCGAAACTTGGTCATCAGTTAATATTACTGTATAACACTGCACTGTGTGATTTATCAAAATAAAATCTTGACCATTATGGAGTTATGCTGTACCACAGTGCCCAAGGTTTTTACTTATATCAAAGTTAGGATCTTTGAAGCAAAAGAAAACTTTATTATTCTGAAATCAATCAGTGTCAAAAAAGCTACTTTACTTAACTCAGAAGAACAAGACCCGAACCTTCATTACGGCTATTTTACATAGTGCAGAGAGTCGGCACAAATAAGTAAAAGTTAATACAGGACCCCGTTGATGAGTCTCATCACGCACACTCCAACTCCTCAATTGGAACTCAGATTGGAAACGAAAAGTTGGCCGTGTCTCCTTGCTATCGCATAAGTACTCACTCGTAATAAATAATAAGTGCGGTCGGTTCATAGCCTCATATATAATAAGAAATTTGATGTAGTGAACTGAGTCCTATTTTATATACCACGTATAATGATTTTTAAAAAAATGTACAAACAAATAAATATATATACATATATATAAAAATGATTTATTTATCTACATTGTTATTTTTGAAAAAAATCGATATATTAATAAATAAAATATTGATTTATTCTCCTTGCTTCATACGCCCACGCAATTTACATTTTCCATTTTGTATAGACTACAACAAATGCTAATCTAAGCGTACAATTACAACAATTAGAATCTGAATGTAAACAATCGAGTAATTCAATGACAAATTATCAAAAACAAGTTGATGAACTAAGTAAACAGGTAAGTTAGTGCTTGATTGATTGATTCTCTAATTATTATTGATCCTTTGGGTTCCCCGAGTGGTGGAATTATAGAGGGCGTCGACAGTACACCTCCGCATTGTTCTATTCTCTTAAGCTGGCCTCCCCGATATGATCTCTATGTCTCCCTCGAACTTGTCGTTGTTCATTCGGGTTTCACTCGAGCGATGGCCTGCATTGAGTGTGATGTCAACCAAAAGTCTCCTCAGTGTGTGCTGAGTCTATCTCCACTTTCTTCTACTTATTTGTTGAGCACTAGGTTATTGATTAGTTCGTTGGTGACCAGCGTTTCTTGTTGCTTATTCTTTCTGTCTGACCATTTGATCATCAGTATGGAGCCAGTGAAGTGAGCAGTTGTTGATAGAAGTCTACAACAACACTAGCCTGTTGGAGAGGATTTTCGTGACACGTGAGCCAAATTTCTGACCTATATAGGAGAATCGACTGACTTAACATTGAAAAGATGAATTTTATTCCTTATGCTGAATGCAGAAGATTTCCAAACTCATTTTAGAGTAATGACGGTCTACCATGCATTTCCTTTTTTGGATTCGACATCTTCATTCGTCCTGTCGCCTGTAGTTAGACCGATGCTTCCTAGATAAGTAAAGGAAGCGACCTGTTTCATATTTCTGTCGTTGGCAGTTGTTGGTTGGTTATCTTCATCACCTCCGTCTTCTGTATGTTCACTTGAAGTCCTGTCTTCGCTGCTTCTTCAGTTAGTTTGTTGGTTTTCCCCTGCGAGTCTTCGAGTTTGTGTCACATTAGACATAAGTCATCCACGAGATCCACATCTTCCAGAGTTTTCTTATTAGTGGTCCAGCGTATTCTTGTCTTCTCTCTCTGCACATACACACAATTGAATACATATTTATGTTTTTTCCTTTCATCATTTTTCTGATAAATGTCATGAATTAGCAGAAACTGCGTCGGCGGCCCAACGGCAGAATAAATAAAAATAATTAGCAAAAACTAGAATTCACTAACCGTTTACTGAATGGTAACGTGCTCGCTTCGTTGCCTGTCAACTATGGGTTCTACTCCTAGTGTGGGTCATGCATGCGTACTATTGAAGAGTCCTAAGCTAGGACGAAACAACTATTCAGTACGCTCTGGTTTTCAGTAGTTGGCGAATTAGTGTCGATTCGTCGTGCCTGTGGAGAAACTTCCAGTCATCTATACAAATATTATCAACTTGGAAACTTTAGGCACTGGTGTTCCCAAATCGGTTCCGTTGGTGTATGTGCCTTGATTTCAGTAGATATTCATGCGTAGAGCAGGATTGAAAGTCTACACTAGACAAACTGAAATACTGACTGACAGCCAGGGGTGTTTCGAAAAGATAATCTAAAAGATCACCTTTCATCGTGTGTGTTAAATAATTGTCAATTGATTTTACAATCACAATCTACTAAAATAGAAACTGAATGACTTGTTTATATTTATTTATTTACGTTGATTCGGCTGGCTGAACTGAGCGCTGAACTAACCGTGTACACTGGTGGATGAGCTTCACCTTCAATGAGCGAACCGGTGGTCTGGTGTTTAAAACACGTCCATTTGGAATGGAACGACTCATTTCAATTAATTAGTAGTATATCGTTTTATGCTTTGATGCTCGGTATCTTGATTGCCATGCCTGTAGGCATTATCATCAAGTAGGCTTACATATTGTTATCTGCACCGTGTTCTGGGTTTCTTAAGCACACAAACACTTGGTGAAATAATCATCTCAAACTGTGTAAAGTGTTTGTCTGTCTGTTTTCGACATAGAACTTTGCACCGATGCGCAGCAGTTCAAGTCGCCACACTCCCTCCATGTAGCACACAAAGCAAGAAAAGAAAGTAGGAGAAATGCATAATAGAGACAGTAAACAGAGGTGTGAGACAAAGGAATAGTAATAAGGAAAAACGATATAGTTTCATTGGTAATCATAAGTCACAAGGAGTGGATGCATCTACACCAGCCATGGAGAACGATTTTGAGCCACATCACCAATTGTCTCCAGCCATTGGTTTTTACCGTCCTGAGGACCCCAACCAGGAAGTCTACACCTTCCTACGTGGCCTAGACTAACTGTTGTGGATTTCATTGACTGATGAAGCCATGTTTTGGTTTGACCGCCGCTAGCCCTTTTCCAGCCTGACCCTATGTCAGCTAACATTGACCATCGAGGAAGGTGATGACTAGGCATACGAAACACATGTCCTAACCATCTCAGTCGATGTAATTTCACAGCCTCGTCGATTGATTTCCCCTCCTTACCTAACCTACCACTCGACGCCTAACCTCAATATTGCTCAACTTATTATACCACTTCACATGAGAGATAGAACGCAGACACCTATGATCAAGGACAACTAATCTTTTCATGTCTTCCACTCTCAATGGTCAGGTCTCACAGCTAGTCATAAAGGAGGACGGAGCGGACTGATGAGCAGTACACTCGCTCTTTAGGCAGATATCACGTCTACGCCAGAGACGGCGTAAACTGGCATATGCGAAACTAGCCCTCTGCATCCGTGCTGAGATTTCGTCAGAGATGAACCCGTTTTGGCTGATGGTACTTCCGAAATAAGTGAAGAGGTCAACGTGCTCTACCACTTCACTTCCTATTTCTAATCTGGGAGTTGGTGTAGTCCAATCCTGTAACATCATCTTGCATTTGGCGGGAGCGAATCGCATGCCAAACATTCGTAGATTGCAGCTCAAGGTGTTCAGAAGACTTTGCATTTTGTCAGAGTGTGTGTGAATTTCAATATAGAAAAAATCCCCATTTAAACATTTAGAAAACAGAAAGATTGAGCGAATAAATATTTACTTTTCAATTAGATCCTCATCTCTGGCTCTACTCTTATATACACGTATAACATTTTTATTACAATACACAACGGTTTACTAATCGAGTGGTATGCGATATGTTTGTTAACAATAATTAGTCAGTGTCAACATGTCAAACAGTGGGGTGATAATTAACGAAGAAAATCAATACACACACAATTAAAAGGTAGAAATGGTTGAAACACATGGATTGCGTAGTGTTTAATTTTGGAAAACATGAAGAGTAATTAGGGAATAAGCGTGTGCACAGGCTGATTACGTAGCAGATTGTTAAAGAAAATAAAACGATTCGGACAATGATAACTTCTAACTAAGGATGAATTGGTCATAATAATAAATTATTTTACAAGGCTAACATGCAATTAAAGATGAAGTAGTCAGAAAAAATAATAAAATATTTTGGACAATTGCAATTTTTAAAGATTTAGGAGGAGGGGAGCAAAGTGGTCCGGTTTATACATTCATTTAAAGATGGCCAAAGTAAAGAAAGTGGCTGTACAAATTTCTTCTGAACACATAGGCTTGGCTTCTTCAGGTGGATTTCTATTGCTTCAGCTGTCTGTAGAAGACGAACTCGTAGAGCAAAATTAAGATTAGTAGGGATGCGATAGATAATTTTAAATGCAATATTAACGTCAACCTTATGCTCACTAGGTGTCTTACAAGGTGTGCCAAAATAGAGCTACGAGTGGATTTTGTTTGTCCCTTGCTTAACCATGTTGGATGATGTTCGGAAATACGATAATGAACCTGCCTAATTGTGTACGCTCAATTTAGCTGTCTCCGCAGCTGCAGTCAAACTGGTAGATACACATTGACATGTTGACACTGACTAATTGTTGTTAACAAACATATCGCATACCACTTGATGGGTAAATGGTTGTGTATTGTAATAAAAATGCTATAGGTGTATATAAGAGTAGAGCCAGAGTGAGATGAGGATCTAATTAAAAAAGGTAAATATTTCTTCGCTCAATCTTTCTGTTTTCTAAGTGTAAATTTGACACTTATGTGAAGTAACTGTTCTTTAAAAATCATTTTTTTTGTGTAACTTTATATGAATTCGAATTAAAATTTTAATGGCCTATGGTTTTTTCCCCGTCTGGACCTGCTGCTTCTTGTGTCAAGGAATCTTTTATTAAACAGAAAACAAACAAACACAAAATGAATGACAGTTTGCAATTTGAATTACCCCAGTTTAATCAATATATGGTTGGTTCTCTGATGTGATGCCTCGACAACAGTGTTTAAAACAAACAACCTCTCATTATTTCTTTTCTCCTCTGTATGAGAATATCAAATTTGTGTACTTGTGTCTAGAAGAATGGGAACGTTATTTTTTCTTTTGTATTCCTTTACGTTCCTAGTGGAAAATAGGGCCTCAAGCTAGAGGCTTGAAGTTTCCGTAGTAGTGTTGATTTTTTACAGGATGGGGTTGCTAGCCTCATACCCAAACTTTCCTCTTTACCAGCTTTTGTTTCTGGCTTAACTAGGTAAATGAGTGCGTCGACCGGGGATCGAACCCCGGACCATTTGGATGGTCGGCGAGCGTCCTAACCGCTGTGCCACCGACGCACGAGAGCGTTATAATAATATTTAAAACAATTAGTTCCCTTTATTAATTTAGATAAAGCAATAAGAAGACGTAATTTGTGTGAATCGTGTAATGCTGTATTTGCGCAACACATTTCGAACAATCTGATCAGACACATTAACTTGTCATAGGAATACACATATGAAATTAATAAAGAGCTAAGAGGTGAGAAAATAGACTACTTAGGTCAGGTTTAAAGGACATATTCAAGGTAAAAATAACAATGAAGACCACTAAACCAAATAACAGAGGTAATAGTACATCTACCCTGGCTGGTATCAAAACAAAGTTCACCAAAGGATGTTTAATGTGATGACGAATTGATTTTGAACGCATAAAGGTGGTTTAAACTTTCTAATTGCCACCTTCCTAGTTTGGGACTCTTCATCAGTACGCGCCCACCGGGATTCGAACCCAGGACCTTCTGGTTACAAGGCGAGCCACTGGGACCCGATCCAATGGTCCTTGAATTCTTACTTCTGCCAGCTCATGATGAAATCCTCCATGCAATTAAACAAAATCCCTACCAAACCAATACCATAATGGATAAGATTTTATTTTGATAAATCACACAGTGTAGTACAGTTATATTAACTGATGACGTTTCGAGCACAAACTATTGCTCATAATCATATCAGGTTACTCACACAACTTCTTTCCTTCATTTATATACATGTGTGGAATCGACTAGATATTGGAATAAAATTCAATATGAGATAATGTACATTCAGAAAAAATAGTACGAGTGTTATAAATCCATTACAATTAGATGGGAAATACGACGAGTGTTTTTATAGTCATAATAAGTTGATTGTTAGAATGTGTTGATGTGTTTGAATGGAAATAGAATTTTAAGATTATTTATCATCCTCTTCTGATTTGACTGGCGGTAATAATATCTTCCATATTTCTGGTATTTGCATTGAGTCACTTCTGTTGCATGTGTTGGGTGTAGACTCGATGAATAAGGATTCCGTAATCAACCTCTCTCTCCACCTACCTATATTACTTTTTAGAATTTTAACCCTATCCCACCCTATTGTATGGTTGTTTGTTAAAATTCTAAAAAGTAATATAGGTAGGTGGAGAGAGAGGTTGATTACGGAATCCTTATTCATCGAGTCTACACCCAACACATGCAACAGAAGTGACTCAATGCAAATACCAGAAATATGGAAGATATTATTACCGCCAGTCAAATCAGAAGAGGATGATAAATAATCTTAAAATTCTATTTCCATTCAAACACATCAACACATTCTAACAATCAACTTATTATGACTATAAAAACACTCGTCGTATTTCCCATCTAATTGTAATGGATTTATAACACTCGTACTATTTTTTCTGAATGTACATTATCTCATATTGAATTTTATTCCAATATCTAGTCGATTCCACACATGTATATAAATGAAGGAAAGAAGTTGTGTGAGTAACCTGATATGATTATGAGCAATAGTTTGTGCTCGAAACGTCATCAGTTAATATAACTGTACTACACTGTGTGATTTATCGAAATAAAATCTTATCCATTATGGAATTATACTCTACCACAGTGCCCAAATTTTATACTTATATCAATAATTACCAAACCAATACTTGAAAAATATATATTTGTAAAGACTAATGTCAAGTTGTTGTTGTATTCACTCTTCTATAGTTAATTTGTATAGGTTAGTTTTGTATGAGTGTGTGTGTGTGTATGTATGTTATTTGTCATATGGAAGATACGTGAATTCATATATGATAAACATGATCCTATATGCTTTAAAAGGTCATGGAAGCTCATAGAGTGCTTATTGACTTTTTCATCTGTCTTGCTTCATAAGAGTTTGCCATATGGATGATAAGTTTATCCCATCTTTCCTATTCACTGCATTCGATGTGGTTAAGATGTGCAAGGCTTCAGAAGTCAATCTTTCTTTATGTGAATGAAATCCTCTTCCAAGAATTTCGACATTGTCGAAATCAATCTTATGTCCACTGTCTATAGCACGCATTGCTATAGCTGATCTTTTTTCTAGACTTTCTAGTTCTACTTCATTTCTAGGTGGACGTTTCGTGCATAGTCTATATTCATTCACTCTGACCTTCACCTGTCTACTGCTCTCCCCTATATAGCATGCTTCACATTCGGAACACTATCTTGTAGACACAATTACTTTGTGACATTCTTTGACATGCACCGACGCCTTCTCTAGAGAATTAGAAGGTTTGACATAGACTTTAATATTATATGAGGCAAACAATCTTTGAAGTTGTTCAGCTATGTCCTTTCGGTATGGGATGTTGCATCACTATTCACCAATGTACCTCTTATGGAGACTGTGGAATTCATATGCCAATAAATACTAGAAAAGTGGTTCGACATAGGAATTCCAATTATTAGTCTGAAAGTGCTGCTTCCAAGCTGCACTATGAATGTACATTTCATATTCAACAAACTTTATTACAGACAAACCGACGATGTTACCATGCGTGGTTCTCCATTAGGTTCGATTTCGGCAGATTTCTTTCTTGCTAGGCGCTTGAAAATGGTCCATTGAAACAAGTAATAGATAAAATGGACTGTTATTTTCGTTGTGTTGATGATACCGTTTATCATTCTTGATGACGAAGTTAGCTGACAAAAATGACAAGAATTTTGATGAAATTTAATGATGCACATCCATCTCTCATCTTCACTTGTGAAGAAGAACATGATGCTTGACTATACTCCTCTTATTCCCCCAAAATGATACATTTTATGCAGTTGGTTTTACCCTTTAATTTTTGCAATAAATGGTGTGCTAAAGTTAGACATGATTGATCTCACCCACGAAGACAGATGAGTAATTTAGAAAAAAAAGCTCAGCAGTTTCACTGCATGCATGCATTAACACACAACCACACAATAGGGTGAGTGACACAGAGTCAAAATTCCTAAAAGGTTATATAGGTAGGCGGAGATAGAGAGAGATTGATTACTGAATCCTGCCTGGTTCATCGAGTCTGCTACACTCAACATATACAACAGAAATAGCTCAACGCAAATACCAGAAATATGGATGTTGTTATTACCACCAGTCAAATCAGAGTAGGATAATAAATAATGTTAAAATGTATTCATTTCAATTCACATTATAACATTCTTACAAGTTACTTATTATTTTGACTATAAAAACACTCGTCTTGTTTCCCATCTGATTGTACTTGATCAATAACACTCGTATTATTATTTCTGAATGTACATCATTTTATTTAATTCAAATGTCTAATCATCAATTTTTACTCATGTATATAAACGAAGCAAAAAAGATATATGAGTAGTGCCTTGATATGACTTGCCTCACTCTGATGATATAAACTTTGTGTGAAGTACGCTGGTGATTTAACAGTTTCAATGGCTGTAAACTCCCAGCTAGATTGTACCAAAATAAATAGCTTTCTGTCGGGAGTCAGTAAATGGTCTGTGTCTAACGGTCTTAAACTGAATCCTTCTAAATGTCAAACTGTTAATTTCAGCTAAAAAGATGTAAACGACAGTTAAAAGAAGCCGTCGATTCTCATGACACTTGTAAGATTGACGGTAATGATATAGGAATTAAATTAGAAATTAAGTATCTTGGACTTATTCTCTCTTCTGATCTCTCCTGGTCTTCCCATTTCTTAGCGATCTCCAGTAAAATATTCCGCCTGACATTTTACATTGAGAAGTTAAGGCACTCGGGTATAACTCAACTAACCTTTTTTCATCTAGTAAATAAACAATCTCCTCCATCCATCCTTATATACCTTCAAGTTTTACTTTTATTATTTCTTTATATTTATGGTCCTGTTGCTTCTTTGTTTTACTTTCATAACTGCAAACACCAACTTATCTCTATGACTGCTGTAATCTTTGTTTTTCCCCCTCACCATATCATGTAAAGAGAACATTATATTCAATATTTTTAAACATGCAAGGATTTGTATACGCCATCGACAATACTGTGTGAAACAAGCCGATGGCAATTTTCACTTGTATTATTATTTTTATTACCTTAGCTGTTGTCATTATTATTATTCCCATTTTTTAATGCTTCATGTTTTTGACATTACCCCTATTGTAAATGTGGAAAAGTTTTTCTGTGTGATTAATTTTATTTATAATTATGAGGAAATTAGATGCAATATTGTGATTAATGCTGAAAATTCCATTCTGTATCACAAGTACTGTTTTTGGAATAAAGTAAATTATTATTATTATTATTATTATTATTATATGATTATGAGCAGTAATACATTGTGCTGGAAACGTGGTCATCAGTAAATATTACTGTATAACACTGTATGATTTATCAAAATAAACATCTTATCCATAATGGAGTTACATTCTACCACTGTGCCCATGTCTTATATTTATATCCTTGGATAAATTCATCTAAATCACAGCTTAGTGTGCAAACATGCATCTGAGCTTTTGAGTCCTTTCAGCATTACACCAAATCCTTCTGTATTATGCCATATGTTCCTAGATGTTTACAACGAAAGGCACAAATTATCTGCGAACTGTAACAGTCAAGTTTTACAGTGTTTGGGACACCAAGGTAGATGAATTACACTCTGTATATGTTGTCTAGGATGATAATCAAATGTTCTCAATTAAAAAAGGAAAAATAACCATTCACTCGAGTTACAAAAATCTTTTCAAGTAATCCAAAATTGTTACTTTTTCTGTTTTTTATCTTCTCTCAGTGTGATGCCTATCAATTAGAATTAAAATCAGCCAATGAAATGAATTATGCCCTGTCTAAACAAATTGAACATTTAAATATTTTACAACAAGCGGAAAGTTTAAATCAAGCGGAGACAATGAATCAGTCGACAAATGTGCTATCCGTTGACAAGATAATACAAACTATTCATATAGAAGATGATGTACAGGAACAAAATAACCAAGGAAAAAGTGATTCTATTCAACATGAACAATACCAAGGACAACAAGAACAACAGCAGCAGCAACAAGAACAACAAGAGGCAACTAATATGAATGCGTTATTGGCAAAAATTGAAACAGATCAGGTAATTTGAATATTATGTGACTCCGTGTAATCACAAGTTTTTTAATATGACTAGGAGACAGTGAGGTGTGTGCGGATATGCAGAAATCCCACGAAAACTGATGTCAACTTTTTTTTAATGATGTAGCTCACAGACTAAAATACTCGACTTACAACCAAGAAGGTCTGGGTTCGAGTCCCATTCTACGTCAGCCCTCATACTGTGAGTGTGCTACATATCCTGTGTTACATAAGGAATCCGTTCCGGGAAACTAAGTTAAAGCAGTGATAATCTCTCGAACCAGATATATCTATAAATTGAAATTATAGGAAGGAGGAAAAGGTGGTATGAATCAGTCGACAGTTCATTATTATATTTTATTGTCTCCGTTAGTTCCTAGAGGAACATACGACTTCAGCCGCATGACTTTATTGCGTGTGGTTCTTTGCCAATATTTTCACCTGGTTTCACGTCTGCCCACATTCTTTCATCTCTTCTTCACATCACCTCCTCCATGTCACCCTCGCACTTACGACCAACTCACCGCTACCCATTTATGTTTCACTCGAGGGCAATGGCCTAGTGTGTGATGTCACTCACTTGGTGGCTTGTTTTCTCAGAGTATGGTCAATCAATCCACCTCTATTTCTTCCTGCCTTTTTGTTGCACAATCGGTTCCTTCTGGGTTGGTTCGCTCCCAGAGATCCCTCACTATTGCTGATCTTTTCTAGGTGGCCATCTGATCTTGAGTATTGAGCAAAGACAGCTATTATTGACAGCTTAACTGATGATTTAATCAAGTAATAATAAATAAATTTATTTATTATATGACCGTCACCAGAACCTCTAGTAGAGACTGTGAAGAATAAAGACCTAACGTACTAACAAAAAGAAGCTGTAATCGGATTATAATCACAACAGCGCCAACAACGCTGCCACATGTGTAAACGAAAGAGGAAACGCTCAAGACACAGGCTTTACTGTAGAATCAAATTCGGAATTTGCGAATTACTCATTTTATGGTGCGAAATCCACAATAGTTTCGTTTATGATTCGGAAGTTTCCAAATCGCAATATGTGATTGGCTAATAAACCATAAGTGGTAACCTTAGTGGTTTTATTTGCTTATTATTCCTTTGCGTTTCGAGTGGAGCATAGGGCTTCAACAACACATCTCAACTTTGTTCTGTTTTCTGCTGTCCTCTTCAGCTGGGTCCACGATTAACCAAACTCTCTCATCTTTTCCTCACACGAACTCCTCCATGTCACCCTAGGACGACCCACTCATCGATTTCCATTTGCATTCCACTCGAGCGATGGTCTGGCGTGCGCTGTCATTCAGCGGCCTCCTCAATGTATGCCCGATCCACCTCCACTTTCTCCTACATTTTTTGTTGAACGATCAGCTCTTGGTTGGTTTTCCCCCATAGTTTCTTATTGCTTATTCTTTCTGGCCATTTGATCTTCAGTATGGAGCCAGCGAAGTGGGCAGCCGTCGATGAAAGTCTGCAGTGACCTGTTGTAAATCCCCTTCGTAGTGTAAAAAATTTCTTACATAATGCCGGTAACTGCTTTTAGTCTAGTCGCTATTCTAACAACCTTCCTGGCATGGTAGGACCTGCAGGGACAATAGTTCCAGCCAGTGTATTTTGTTGGTGGGTCATTGCTATGTGTAAGGTAGCAGCTATCGGTCGTGTGAAGATCTTGTACAAAGGAGAACTGTTTATGCAATAAATTCCCCGGTGAATTCTGCACGTTGTATAAATGCTAATTAGAATAAAGTCACTACTATTGTTATTATTAGGTACTGTTGCCATTTATCTATTATGTAATTTCGTTGGAATTCTAACAGACCCCTCCGAACGTGTTTTACTACGAAAATATTCACTTATTGTACCGGAGTGTTGAAAAAACAGCAAAAGTATATGTGTGATTTGACATGCAATATTTGTTGGATATATAGCCCTTATCTACTTCATTATATCTATCCCTCATTTCCTTCAAAAAACTGCATAACTGTAGTAGTAGGTGGAGGGGTATTTAAAATGCGCGCGAAAAATAACGTTACAATTTAAGAGCGTGATTGATTGATTAAAACAATATCAGGTGAAGTAAATTCGATAGATTATTTTTTAAGAGAAAAGATTTGATAGCTTAGCGATATAATTACTAATCTGAATATATATTGTCATTATGTTTTGTTAACATTATATTTAATATTGTACAACTGAAACTCTCTTCTGTTACCATAGATACATGTCAACCAACTTACAAATGAAGTAACAATGTTACGAAATTTATTTACACGTGTAACCAAACTGTGTTATGAATTACAAGTACAAAATGAACAAGATAAAGAATTAATGAATCAATTCAGCGATCCTGCATATTGTATTAACACCTTGGAAGAGTCTGTTAAACAGTTGATGTGTAAATCATCATTGAGTGTAAATGACACTTGTGTACAATGCTCAATATCTATGGAACAGAAAGCATTAGAGGACTTGGAAATACTTCAAGTAAATGAGATTTTCACACTTTTTTTTTGTTTTATTTGTTGAGATTTATTGGCATTTCTTTACTCTATAAAGGTTGTTTCAAGAAATTTAGTTTTTATGTGTGTTTCTGTCAGTTAAGTTTTAATGAGTGTTTGTGTAACACACAGTTTTATCATTGTTAGGCGCCATTTAGTCGAAATAATAAGTGATGATAATGATCGCTTGGTGGGTTGTTTTTAAAAAAATTTTACTGATTGGTTCATTTCTCTCTTCAGTCTCAGTTATTTCATAGTTTGTGTTGGTCCTATACTTGTGAACAAACTCTTCTAGCAATGTGTCCATCAACGGTATGTGTTTGTGTGTGTATAATCAATTTGTTCTTCAAGTGTTACTTTGCGGGGATTTAATTGATTTCAAGATTGTTCGCGAATTGATGTCAGTTGGGGAACTATTGGAAACCAAGGAGTACTGGATGGTTGTTTTGTCGTTGTTTGGGACTCTTCGCTTGTACGCACCCGTGATTCCACTAGGGATCAAGTCCGGGACCTACAGTTTACAAAACGAGCTCGTAGACCATTCGCCTCCGTAGTTATGAAACACCGCCATTGAAAGTGGAAGATACGAAAAGACTGGCTGTCTGCATTCTTTCTCCCGTGTTAGTTGGTATAATCGGATGAGTGATATTGAGGTTAAGCGTCGAGTGGTAGGTGGTAACAAGGAATAATCAATCGACAAGTTTTTAAGGTTACACCAATTGTGATGGTTAGGATATGTGTTGTTACACATGCCTAACCATCGCCTTCCTCGATCGACGACGGGCAAGGTTAGCTGACATTGGACCGCTCAGGTTGGAAAAAAGCTAGTGATTGTCAAACCAAAACATGGCTTCATCAGTCAATGAAATCCACAACAGTTATTTCAAACCAGCCAGTCACGTAGGTAGGTGTAGACTTCTTGGCTGGTTGGAGTCCTCAGCATGTTAAGAACCAGTGAAGGCTGCAGACATGATCGGTGGTATGGCTAGCTCAAAATCCTCGTTACCAATGGCTGGTGCAGATGCACCCACTCTTTGTCAGGTGATTTGTCATATCTAATAAAAATCTACTATTCTTTCATATTACTATTCTTTTTGCCTCACTCATACTTTTGTTTTATTATCTCTCTTTACTCTCTTCTCTTGGTTTGTGTTGCTACATGGAAGGAGTGTGACAACTCGAACTAGTGCATATGTGTGCAAAATTCTTTGTTGAAACCAGTGTGTCAGTCAGTCGGCAATGGACAGGTTTTCCCATTAGTGGTTTTTTCTAGTGTCTTTGTTACATGCAAGTACGGGGTATCGCTAAGCTTTTCACCGTTGTCCTTCTATTGCTAAGGTTTTTTTAAAGCTCTTGGCGATTAACGTCTTTTAGTGTTTTACTGAATAGGAGTTTACATGTAGGTGAATTATGTGCAGAACACTGATAACGAAAAATGATGTGAAATAAATTAACGGTGTAATACTATAGATGAAAGGTTTGAATTTAAAAAAGTACTAGAGTATTCGAATAATCCAACATAGATGATCCGCACACGTATTGCTCAAATGATTTTGGAATGATGGTCTACTTTCTCAAGTTTTAGTTTCGAGTTGGCTTAGTTATACTACCAACGGAGTCAACTCACAATCTAAAGGGCCTGAGCTCGATAGCCCGTGGCTGGCATCATGGATACGTTCTACTGGGGTGTCCCAATCTAGAACGAAACAGCTATCCAGTTTTTCCGGATCTGGACCGGCCCCCTAACTGATGTCAGATCAAGCCTAATTTCTACTAAATCCTTCTTAAAGTTCTGGGAACTATATGATTATTGAAGAGTTACCGTATAAAAATGTGTTTAAAAAAATTTTTTATTGATTGATTCATTTCTCTCTTCAGTGTTAGTTATTTCAAAGTTCGTGTCGGTCCTATGCTTGCCAAAATCTCTTCTAGCAATGTCTGAATAAACAGTATGTGTTTGTGTGTATGATCACTTTGTTCCTCAAGTGTCACTTTGCGGGGATTTAATTGATTTCAAGATTGATCGCGAATTAATGTCAGTTGGGGAACTATTGAAAACCAAGGAGTACTGGATGGTTGTTTTGTTCTTGTTTGGGACTCTTCTCCAGTATTCTCCCACGACTCCACTAGGGATCGAATCGAAGACCTCTGGGTTACAAAGCGAGCTCGTAGGCCATTCGGTTCAAGAGTTCACTACGTCTTTCTGTACGGCTGTGAGATATGGCCATAGAAAGTGGAAGATACGAAAAGGCTAGATGTCTTTGTTCATAGGTGTCTGCGTTCTATCTCCCGTTTTAATTGGTATAATAGTGTGATTTATATTGAGACTAAGCGTCGAGTGCTAAGTAAGGAGGGGAAATCAATAGATGAGGCTGTGAAGTTACACCAATTGTACGAGATGGTTAGGACATGTGCTACGCCTGTACGACTAGCCATCGCCTTCGTTGAACAACAATGTTAGATGACATAGTGTCAGGTTGGAAAAGAGCTAGTGGTGATCAAACCAAAACATGGCTTCATCAGTCCATGAAATCCACAACAGTTAGTTCAAGCCAGCCAGTCACGTAGGGAGGTGTAGACTTCCTGGTTGGGGTCCTCGGGACGGTAAACATCAATGGCGGCTGGACACAATTGATGATATGGCTCAAAATCGTTGTCAATGGCTGGTGCACATGCATCAACTCCTTGTGACTTATAATACCCAATAAAACTATATTGTTCTTTGATATTACTATTCTTTTTGCCTCATATCTCTGTTTACTGTGTCTATTTTGCATTTTTTTGCTTTCTTCTCTTGCTTTGTGTGCTGAGTGAAGTGTGGCGACTCGAACTGCTGCATATCGGTGCAAAGTTCTATATTGAAAGCAGACAGTCAGTCCGCGACAGACACTTTTTTCCATAAGCAGTTTTCTATAGTGTCCTTGTTACTTACAAGTACCGTAAACACTAAGCTTTTCACCGTTGTCCTTCCATCACTGAGGTTTTTTGAAATGCTGTTTTCGATTACTGTTTTTTGTAATGTTGTACTGACTAGTAGTTTATATGCGAGCCAAGTATGTGCAGAACACTGACAATCATGAATGATGTGAAGTAAATTTACGGAGTAATACTATAGAAGAAAGTTTTGAATTTGCAAATGTACTAAAATATTCGAGTAATGCAGCATAGACGACCACCGCACGTATTGCGTAAATGATTTTTAGCGTGATAATTGGGTCAGTTATATTACCAACGAGCTCAATTCACAACCTGAAGATCCTGAGTTCGATACCTGTTGAGTGTGATCATGGATATGTACTACTGAAGAGTCTCAATCTATGATGAAACAGGCGTCTGGTTCTTCTGGATTTGTACTGGTCCCCTAACTGATGTCAGTTCAAGTCTAATTTCTACTAAATCCTTCTTAAAATCCTGAGAACTATATGATTATTGCAGAGTGACCGTATAAAGATGTGTGTTTCACTTGCTTTACCATTCGACTTCCTCCCAGTAAGTGGGTCTCGGGTTTGAATCTCACCATACTTACTTACTCATAAGCGGCCGAAAAATGTCGTTAGCCCTCATACATTTAGTGTGCTCATGACCGCTGCTACATAGAAATGTTTTAGGGTAACTGAATTGAAATTAATGACACGAAATTGATGTTACGTAACTACGTGAAGATTAGACGTAGCATGCTACGTAAAGTTGATAAGTAGAAATCGATATAGTTTTAAATTCACATCAGTTGCAATAAATAGTATATATTAGATAGTTGGAGGCGATCGACACGAAGCCTTGGACCTATGTTTCGTGCTAGTTGGCACTCTTCAGCAAGGCGTATCTGCAACCTTGAAGGAATTCATGTCCCTTCCTGCCGATCCCCTCCAACTATCTAATATCATCAAATCAATGTGCACCGTGATGGTGAGCTACTTAGAATGGTGGCTACATTGCAAACCTGACTGATAGAATTCAGTCTGCACCAAAGAAAGGACTAGACACATCACACTAGTCACTAGTGTCCAATGAAAAAAAATAGCATATATGCAACACGTGTTAAGTGATCACTCGCTTAGAAATGTGGTGTTCACTTAAGTAGGTTTAGTGTAGGATGTCTAAAGGCCTGTTGAGTAGTAGTAGCTTGTGACATCCACCTTCTATACAACTCAAAGAGTGAGGATTCAGCTGTTACTGTTATATTCTAGTTCTTGCCTTGTGATTGCACTTCACAACTGTATGAAAAGTGGTAAGATGGAAAACAGAATTCAATCTGCACTATTCATGGACTCTGTCTGTCTGTCTGTATTCGACATAGAATTTTGCACCGATGTGCAGCAGTTCAAGTCGCCACACTCCCTCCATGTAGCACACAAAGCAAGAAAAGAAAGTAGGAGAAATGCATAATAGAGACAGTAAACAGAGGTGTGAGACAAAGGAATAGTAATAAGGAAAAACGATATAGTTTCATTGGTAATCATAAGTCACAAGGAGTGGATGCATCTACACCAGCCATGGAGAACGATTTTGAGCCACATCACCAATTGTCTCCAGCCATTGGTTTTTACCGTCCTGAGGACCCCAACCAGGAAGTCTACACCTTCCTACGTGGCCTAGACTAACTGTTGTGGATTTCATTGACTGATGAAGCCATGTTTTGGTTTGACCGCCGCTAGCCCTTTTCCAGCCTGACCCTATGTCAGCTAACATTGACCATCGAGGAAGGTGATGACTAGGCATACGAAACACATGTCCTAACCATCTCAGTCGATGTAATTTCACAGCCTCGTCGATTGATTTCCCCTCCATATAGTTTCATTGGAAATCATAAGTCACAGGGAGTGGATGCATCTGCGCCAGCCATTGAGAACGATTTTGAGCCATGTCATCGATTTTCTCCAACCTTCATTTTTTTTTTTACCGTCCCGAGGACCCCAACCAGGAAGTCTACACCTTCGTACATGGCTGGCTTAAACTAACTGACTGGTGCCATGTTTTGAGCGTTGGTTGGACCACTGCTAGCTCTTTTCCAGTGTGACCCTATGTCAGCTTACATTGCCTTCTGTCGAGGAAGGCGATCACTAGACATACGTAACACATGTTCTAACCATCTCAGTCGATGTAGCCTCAAAGCCATGTCGATTGATTTCCCCTCCGTACCTAGCACTCGACTGAGGCCTAACCTCAATATTGCTCACCTTATTATACCACTTCACACAGGAGATAGAATGCAAGCACATATGATCAAAGACAGCTAATCTTTTCATGTCTTCCACTCTCAATCTCCATGTCTCACTCACAGCTATAAAGAAGGACGGAGCGGACTACTGAGCAGTACACTTTTCACCAATTTCCAATCAAAAAATATCCAATACAGTCCTACATATGAGGTCAATTGTGAGTCCGAATAGGTCCATGGTAACCTCACTGACTGCAAAACTGAGGGACACACGTTTCAGTCTCAGAAGGGACATGGATCCCCTCAAGGTTGCAGATACGCTTTTCTGACTGGTGAGTGCTAAAAAGCTCAAAACTTAGATCGAAGGCCTCCTACCGATTGCCCCTCCCACCATCTAATAGGCTTAAATGTGTCAATCGACATTAAAAACCAAAATCACAATAACCACTTTATATGAAGCACAGAATTATTCAACTGTCAATATATTGAAAAATCAATCATCACCAAATAGCAGTAAACTAATGTTGTACTTAATTTTTTTATAGGTTGCTCATACACAATTAGAAGCTAAATTTATCAAATGTATGGAAGAACTCAGCACGGTTTCAGAGGAACGCAGTCGATTAGAAAGTGTAAATGCTCAGTTGGAGATGGAAGCGACAACAGTTGAAGAATATGTAACTCTATTCACGCATAGACGTGCTGCTGCAGCAAAACGTGCTAGAGCTCGTGAATTACTACTGCAACGTCTTGTCGATGACCGGAAACGCTTACGTCTACGTTTACAACAACTTTATAAACAAATGAAACCTGCTCAAAATCAAGAGACAAATGGAATTCATAATGAACATTTAGGAGATACAAATACAACAGAAGAGGTGAACGATACAAGTAAGTTTTTTTTGATGTAGTTGTGTTTTCTGAGCTGGCTGGATGGTTTATTTGCGAAGCTTTCATTGGCCTACTACGTAACATCTTCAGCGCATACTTCAATTTGAAGTGAGCTTTCATATCCCTCCACGAGTTTATTAATCATCTCTCCTGGTGCCCTTGGACGTCTTGTTCGATTGTTTTTGTGTGTTTTCACACCCTCTAGGCTGCTTGTATTGGAACTGATTATTTCTTTGGACTGAAGTTTGACCCATTGTGTGTGAGATTTCCTTCTTATCAATTGGTAAATTTCTTCTATCTCGATGTGTCTATTGATTGACGATTCACTGGAATACGAGTCCAGGCTTCTAAAAATTCCCTAGTATTCTTGGTGTTTCCTCTGCCTAATATTTTAACACTGGTTGTCCCAGTCAAATTGATGTCCATGATTGTCTGTATGCAGCAATATGAGGGAGTGGATGTCATATCGTTTGACGGCTAGCTTATGTTCATGGATACGAAGACTAAGGGGATGTCCACTCTGGAGAACCTAGTGCTTTTCGCAGTTGTTACAATTTATTTTGTAGATGATGTTGGCTTTATCTTCTTTCGTTGTTGAGTCTTTTAGTTAACATAGAGCCAGATGAGAGGAGGGATTTTGTTGGTTTGTGTGCGACATTAATTCCTAAAGGTATGAAAAGTCTTGGAGTGATTTCTGAGATTTCCTTTATATATATGGTAGCGCGATTTTTTTTGGGATTTCCTTGGGGGGCTTTGATTTGGTAGGTTGACTTGGGGGGGGGGTAGATGTCTTGTGATGAAATTCCATGGATATCCATTCCTTTGGAAGGTGTCCATGAGATATCTTTCTTCAATTTTCCTTAAGGTGGGATTGGTGCAATGAGTAAGTACAAGTACAATACAAGTATGTAATACAATACAAATAAGTTATTTTACCTACATAAAGTCAGTGTTTTGAATAAAGCAGTTGTGAATCTTCCACAGTAGTGCTACCCACAGCATTTGTTATTTCTCGTTCGACTGATCAAAGTTCGATATTTGTAAGTATCTATGTTGGTTCTGTTTCATTCTACTTACTTCGATGACACTTGTTTGAGGATTGCCGGTTTGAATCCCACCTCTTCCCTTTCATTCTACGGAATTGGATGGTATCGTCAGTTGTCACACGACTAGTGTGTAGCCCTTAGCCAGCTAGGTGGACGTCGGTTCTTACTCTCAAAATGCTCTCATGTCGCCACGTGTTCTAAGACTCTTCCAAATAAGTTCTGTTCACTATCTTCAAGAGAATAGGATGTTTCTCACAAAAGTGTAAGGGAGAATGTGAACGTCTGGTCTGGTGCTTACAACCAGACTTTATGAAGCGGCTGTGTGGAGCTGAAAAACCCTGATTCTAAGCCTATGTTTTGTGTCTATAGGCTGTAGAAAACCGAAAGAATTTAATAACGTATGAAGCTGTTTTGGGAACAGTCAACCTTGTGAAAACAGCTCATACTGCTTCAAGTCAAAGCCTCAGGGAAGGGGTGGGTGGATGTGACCCCTTAAAACAACCATCTGCTTCGAACTGGGTGTCAAGGCAGTGTCCCAGACCTCACATGGACGATGAGACTTTGTAGATAAATTCCACGTATTTTGTTTTTCTTATTTTGTAATTAAATCCTTCCATATAGAATGTTTCTGATAGTGTGGTACACTTTTTATCCACCTTTAATAGGTTTCATGTATATTTGGCTGAGATACTCTTAGATTTGATTCACATAAATTGACGCTGTAGGTTTTGTAGTACTTATAAAGAAGCACAGACTAAGGTCACCTTCACTTCTAAATTTGTAGTTTCATTCATCATTTTAAATGCATTTAGTCAATTTTGTTCCTCGAATGACATTTGTCTCATGACACGTTTTTATTCCCTTTACGTTCCCAGTGGAACATAGGACTTCAAGCTAGAGCTTTGAAGTTCCAGTAGCAGCAGGGGTGTTTATTTTTTTACGGGATGGGGTTGCTAGCCTAACGCTTAATCTCCCCTGTTTACCAGTGTTATTACTGGCTTCGTGACGTAAAGGAGTGAGTTGGTGGCGGAAGATCGAACCTCGAACCACCTGCGTGACCAGTAGGGTGCAGCAAGTTGGGTGTGAGGACAAATACTCCCCAAAGACATTGGCTAGCGGTTGCGCTAAGTCGTGAATTGGCGGAAGTTGGAATTCATGGAAACTGCTCATTGGATCGGGTCCCAGTGGTTTAGTGCTCTACGACCTTATCTTGTAACCAGAAGGTCCTGGGTTTGAACCCTGTCGGTGGGTGCGTACTAATGAAGAGTCCCAAACTAGGACAAAAGAGCTGTGAAGTACTCTCAGGTGTTCCAATGGTTCTCTAACCACTGTCAGCTCATGATGAAATCCTGTAACCAATCAATCAAATCCCTATAAACCAACACTGGAATAATCTCACATAGCTAAAACCGCCTGATGAGAAAGGCGGTGGCTTGGCATGCTTAACACGTGTATTAGCCATATTAATGGGTGTAACTTCCATCCATGGGTTTTTTCTTCTTACCTAACACTCTATACCTCAGTGTGACTTCCCGTATCACACCACTTAAAATGAACTTCTACGCAGTTCGATCGATGGCCGGATATAACGTCTGCATCAAAGATGATATCATGATACGAAATAGCAACTATTCTTGTCATTCTGAAATAATAGAGAAGATTTGTAGCTCAGGTGAATGATTCGCAATTAGTTGTGTTCTCTGAGCTTGTTGGTTTAATTGGAGAGCTTTCGTCGTTCTTCTGGACAGCATTTTCAGCACAAGTTTTTAGCATGAAATCAACTGATTTAAATTCTTCATGAATGATGTAATTGTACCTCCTGGCCGCCACTATCTTGACTGGTTGTTAATTTGCAACCCTATTGATCATTTTCATTGACTTGGAATTAGAACTTTCTTGTTATGTGATGATTTACTTTTTATTAGCTAGTAAATGTGGTCTATAGTAATGTGTTTGTTAATCGCTGATTCGCTTGGGTACCAGGCTTCTAGGAACTCTCTGGCACTTTCGGTGTTTCTTCTGTTTAAAATTTCGACTTTTTCTCAATCGTGAAATTGATGTCCATAATTATCTACATGCATTGATATGAAAGAGTATATAACATGTCTTGGATTCTGATTCGAAGGGGACGCCCACTTTGGGCGATTAAATGTCTGTTACAGTTCATATATGCAATTTATTTTGTAATTGGTATTACTTCCATCTTCTTTTTCTGTTGGATCTTTCGGTTTGCACAATATGGAATGGGGTGATTGTGTTGGCTGGCTGGCTTGTGTGCTATATCTATTTCAAACGGTTTCAATATTCTAGCTGTTATTTCCGAGATATTTTTTATATATGGTAGGATAAACTTTCTTGTGTTCTTTGATTATGGTTCCTTGTTGGTGTTGTGACTCGATTTTAAACACTTTTTGATGAAATTGTGAGTAGGATATCGATTGCTTATGAAGACGATATGTAGGTATTTTTCTTCAACAGCGCAGTAATGCTACAGTGTGTTTGAACTCTTTTAAACAATGTCTGCACACAGTTTCTTTGTGAGTAACTGGATTATTGCTAGTATAGTTGAGTATTTGATCTGTGTGCGCTGATTTTCTATATACTTGTGTTTCTAAATTTCCTGTGTTATTTCTCCTGATTAAGACATCTTGTCATTCGCCAACCTAAATCTACCTTACATAAAACTTCAAAATTCAAAGGACACCTGAAATCCGTGTGTATTCAATTGATTATATATTGACTCTGATGCGCAGTAAAACAAATCAGCCTGACAATAACCAATATTAGTCTGCATTGAGTACAATTCACTTCTGGCGTTACTTACGATGAAAATGCTGACAAAAGTATACAAGTGTATCACCTATTTTAAATTATTACGCAATTTGGATATAAATCAAGAACAAGATACGATGTCGCACACAACAAAGTTATATGGGGAATTACTTCAGGCTTTATTTTTTTTCCCAAGTATTTGTAATCCATCCGAAAGATACTTGGGTTATTTTGTTAATGCGAAGACAATATTTCTATATTTCTTGATGTGCTCCATTGAATGACTAGTTAGCAGATTGTATCCACGAACTAATGTCAAAAAGGACAGCAACCATGTAATTTCATCATAAATCAAATTTATGTAATTTAAATAATACTTATCCATGCCTGTAAAACTGGTGTGTTCTGCATATATAAGACAAATATATTATTTTTCAAGTATTGGTTTGGTAGGGATTCTGTTTAATTGCATGGAGGATTTCATCATGAGCTTACATCAGTTAGAGAACCATTGGAAAACCAGCTGGGAGTACTGGACAGCTGTTTCGTCCTAGTTTGGGACTCTTCATCAGTACGCGCCCACCGAGATTCGAACCCAGAACCTTCTGGTTACAAGGCGAGCTCGTATACCATTGAGCCACTGGGACCCGATCCAATGGTCCTTGAATTCTAACTTCTGCCAATTCACGACATAGCGCGACCATTTCGCAATGTCTTCTTCGATGAGTTACTGCCTCATCTTCAACTTGCTGTACCCTACTGGTCACGGCTTCCCACTAGAACCCCAAGTTAACTGCCTGAATAGGGCCAGTCACTAGTGAGCATCCCAGTGGCTCAATGGTCTACGAGCTCGCCTTGTAACCAGAAGGTCCTGGGTTCGAATCCCGTTGGGCGCGTACTGCTGAAGAATCCCAAACTAGGACGAAACAGCTGTCCAGTACTCCCAGGTTTTCCAGTGTTTCTCTAACTGATGTCAGCTCATGATGAAATCCTCCATGCAAATATATTATTATTATTAATTAATATCATTATTTGTGTGTGTTGTTTTTTTTCTTGTCAGACTTTTCACCTGGTTTCCTGAATGAATTTCAAAATCTTATTCAAGAAATTGAACCAACTATGGATGAGTCAGAGTTTGAATCAGGTGCATCCAACTTGAACGATGAAGATATGGGTAATTCAATGAAGGATTCAACCAGTGATGCTGATGATGGCCAGGGTGAAGAATTTGTTCATCATAATTTAACTGATGACATCCAACAGGAAAATCATACAGCACAACTATCATCATCACCCTCCTTACAAAGTCTACGGTATCATGCACTTCGTCATGACTGTCCACATTGTAAATGTTGTGTTGGTAATCTGCTAGAAGTGTAGTGTGGTAGTAAATAGAAGGCGGAGCGGGGAGGTTTGGGAAAGAAACAACACCTAGCGAAAATCTCATTCTCAATTATTATTAAATTTCTTCATGTCTTTCATACTATGTGCCTGTTTAGAATTGAACAATACCAGAAAAACCAGCTAACAATAGTCTCTTCACAATATTCCCCCATGTTTAGGCAAGAAAAAAAAAGCGCTATGTGATCAATTGTACAGATTATTTCTTTTTCTTCTTCTCTTTCGGATTATTTGTGTTTTTTTCGTTTTTCTCTTCTTTTTTTTCGAAAAAAATTCATGATTTTTCTTTTGTTTTTTTCCGCCAATATTAATATTTTCGAATTTTGTAGTATTTTTGTTGGGAATGATGAGTAGGATAATATATGCATACAAATTAATGGTTGTGATACTGTGATTTATACATGTGACTGACTGTATTGTAATAATACCCTAAGAATTATAGATTTCCTATCCTGCTTTGGTCTTTTATGTGTTTCTGGTTGAGTAGTATATATATATATATATATATTAAGCTGTGGTTGGTTTACACAGTGCCCCCTGAACTTACTGTAACAACAGAAGGCAAGAGATGGAAGCCAAGGTATATTTTCAAATGATCAAACCTCTATTTATCATATATACAGTTTTATATTCTTTAAGCAATCATTGATTGTGTGATTTCGGCTTACATTAAGCGACATGAAATAGAATGTTCAAGTAGGTATACTGTATTTTGTTGCTAACGCAGTATCGAACTGTGGGACTATGTGAGAATAATATTCCGTTGGAACACATTGTCTGTATGACACCACCACACTTGTTCCTCTGTCAAAAACTCCCAACTGAAGTCGGTTGGATCTTCTTGGTGCTGGCGGCTTTGTTAGCTGGTCTTGCTGTATCGAGTTCCGGTGCTCGCTGATGTTAACCTGCTTCTCTTTGTTTGCATTTCTGATCGTGCATACGTGACCCCGTGTCACGGTGACTATGTATGGTCCTACTCACTTTGGAGGCAGTTTGTATGACCCTGGCCCAAATTCGCCGGTGTTTCGCCTCACACTATCATATGCTGCCGTCGCCTGACCTCACAGCAGCGTTCCAAGTAACAGCCTCTTTTCTGACGGATCTTGAACACCATTCAACTGCACAACAGCCTCAAAGTCCTGCCAGAAGATTCATATGTATCCTTTAACAACTGTAGGGCATAGGCTTTCCATTTGTCGAAAGACAGCGACACCAAATGTAACAACAGATGGCAAGACACGGAAGCCAAGGGATATTTTCAAGTGATCAAACCGCCTTTTACATATATGCAGTTTTATATTCTTTAGCTAATCATTGATCGTATGATTTCGGCTTACATTAAGCGACATGAAATAGAATGTTCAAATAGATATACTGTATTTTGTTGCTAATGCAGTATCGAACTGTGGGAATATGTGAGAATAATATTCCGTTGGAATACATTGTCTGTATCACACCACCATATTACAATAACAATAACTTAATGATGCACAATAAGTTTACACGGTGTGCACAATTTTCCGCGTAGTTTATGGCATAATATTTACTTTTCATCCAAGTGCATTTCAAGTAAAATACAGCCGTGTCCAGTATATCATGTGACGTAGTGATGTTAGATTTGAAGAATAAATAATCCACTAGGGTATTTTCCTCTGGTCCCACAGAAATGCTCAATGATAAGCGGCGGCTGTGAAACAATTAAACATGTGCACGAGTGCGTTTGGAGACTTACGGATATAACTGAATGATAATAACAACAAGAATTAAAGAAAATAAGATGCATTGTCTCAGATGAAAATTCGGGTAACCCAAAAGATTCAAAGAGACCGGCAGTTGTTTAACAAAAGCTCTAACCTAGCGATGTGGCATCAAAAAAGATAGTTACTGTGTTTGTGTCAAGTGGTACAATAACGTTAGGAATATTGAGGTTAGATGTTGTTGAACATCATGATGTGAGGAGGCGAAATCAATCGATGAAATTTTGAAGCTTTGTACATTATCAATCGCCAACCGAACACGTTACTGGAATCTTTTACAATTAGTAGTATAGGACAGTAATTCGAAAACATAGTCATCAGTAAGGCTGCTTGCTATATTACCCGGAGGTACACAATGTTTTTGATTAGTCCATAACGTAAGCAACCTCACTGTTGCAAGTACATTTCAGCCCTTGTTGTATTGAAGACATAGGGTTACTCGGATATGCAAAAGGTGCTTACGGCCTACCTCACGTGTTACGAAGGATAGAATAGAATTTACGCATGTCAAGCTGTCATCTTCCCCGTTTCAGCAATGTCCGATGATAGAATTGAGTTGACACAGTGTCGGCGTGAGGCAAATCAAAAATGGCATCAATCTGTAGAGTACTTAAGTATTAGTTTTAGCTATATAGAGAAATGTAAACTGTTTGACTAGGGTCCTCGAGACGCTAAATCCTAAAAGACTAATCGTAGCATCGCTCAACATCTTTAGGAATGATGTAGATAGAACCCACCCCTTGCTACATCCCAGATGTATTATTTATTTTCCATTTAATTGAGGATACTTTCGCCTGCTTATAACGCTTTTATTACTTATCTTTTGCTTATGATTTATTTGTGCTTCGTGAACACTGGTGCCTCTTTTTGTGCATAGTTCTGCGTCGAGTTTTAGCTCAGGTTGTTGTTTTGATTAGACGCTAGTAACTAGTGTGAGATGTCTGCAGACTGAATTCTATCAGTCACTTAGGTTTGCAGTGTGGCCACCATTCTAGGTAGCTCGTCATCACGGTGCACATTAGTTTGATGATAGCTCAGGACTGGGTGATGCGGGTTCGAATCTCGAAAGGGACATGAGTTCCTCCAAGGGTGCGAATACACCCTGCTTACTAGTGAGTGCCAACTAGCACGAAACCTAGGTCCAAAGATTACTGTGGCCGATTGCCTGCAACCATCTAGTATTGATGTTGTTGTCACAGAAGAATTTAATGAATAAAAATACTATATCAATTATCTCTAAAATTTCGAGTACATCCTATAGGCTTTAAAATACTTTTATCCGATAAAAATAGTTACAATGCCGCATACATAATCTATCATCATTAAAGTCAGGTATTATGACTACTAAGTTAGTTTTCCGTCTTATTTTCTTGATCTGTTTGTGTAGTTCTCAAACCATCCTTCGGATATCTCTTATATGCCGTAGTTAGCCCTCCTTTTCAACGAGTGAATGACTGACTGACTAACCAACTGGTTTCAACATAGAACTTAACATAGAAATGCAGCAACTTGAGGTGCCACACTCCATGTCGCATACAAGATAAGACGAAAGAGATTCAAAGAACTATAATGTGAAGGAGAAAGCATAGTAACGTTTAAAGAACAAAGGGTCGATGCATCTGCGCCATTAATAACAATTTTGAGCCATATCACCAATTGTCTGCAGCCGCCATTGGTTCCTAGGATCCCGAAGATCCCAACCGGTCGGGAAGCCTACACCTCCGTAGATGGCTCAAACTAGCTGTCAAGGATTTCATGGTTTTACCACGTGTAGCTCTCTTTTCCAACCTGATCCTATGTCAGCTAACATTGCCTGTCGACGATGCAGATAATTCAGCATACGTGACAGGTATCTTAGCTATATTAGTGGACGTAGTTCCACAACCTCATCCATGAATTTTCTCATCTCATACTACACTTAACGCCTAGCCTCAATGCTACTTACCCTGTTATTACCACTTAACGCAGACACCTAGCTTTTTCATATGTTCCACTTTCAATGACCATTTCTCACAGCTGTAAAGGAGGAAAGAAGGAACACCTTCACAGTACATACGTTCTTTAATCGATAGCCAGCCGGATAGCATAATTTGGCAAATGCCACAGGAGCCTTTCGCATCAGTTCTGAGATTTTGTCCGTTGGGCTGATGAAGTGGTCAACACGTTCAACCACCATTTGACTACGTGTCTTCAGGCTAAGATTCGGTGCAGTCCAGTACTATCCCGTAGTAAGCATCTCACCTTATATTTGATAGAAGCAAATCGCGCGCTAAACACTCGAAGACTGCCCATTCCCAAGGTGTTCGTTCAGAAGACGACTCTGGCATTCGATGGAAATATTTATTGAACCAAAAAAACAAATTTATACATGATCAAATAATACTGTGTTAAAAGAAAATTTCTCAGAGTATATATTTTTCACCATAAAGTTTGTTTTCTGAAAAACAAAAAATACGGTATGTTCAGGATTATATACATCTGTAAGTAATAACATAACACTTCAGGCCACATTGTAGTGTTCCATCTCCTCTCTTCATACTTTTTCAAATAACTGTTTCCAATACAATTGTCGATGTTGAGGTAAATTATCTGGCTGGTAACACTCTATACCAGCTTTGATAATAGCTTCACTGAAGGTGGCTGAAGATGCTATGCTCATATAATCATCATCACCACCAGTACCATTCATATTGTCGTCCTTATCGTCGACTAGGCGTTCTACTAGTGGATCGTGTACGTCAACATTTAAATTTGTATTCAGTTTGAGTGACTTCACTTGTAACCAACATTTATTTGGTTGTTTATAATAACGCAATAGATTGAGAAGATCACTTTTACTACCGCCAACTGTTTGAACTGATGATGCTGACGCTGATGATAGTTTAACGTCAGACATTTGTGGTAATAGTTTACACAAGCGTACAAATTGTTGTGTGAATTCACTGTTACAATTAGCTCTGTTGTATAGATATCTGAAGAAAAGAAAAAAAATAATTACACATTATGATGAATTACAGTGGTGTGCAGTACAATAAAACAGTTCGTTATTTGATTGTGCAACAATTGAATAAACTGTTGATATTAGATGGTCGGAGGCAATCGGCTACAAGAAGCCTTGCTTGACCTAGGTTGCGTGCTTTTTGGCGGCACTCGTCAACCTGGAGACACCAGTTAATTAGTGTCCAATCAAAGTATCCAATACCAGTCCTACATGAGATCACTTGCGAGCCTGAATAGCTCGGTAGCATTGTCTGTAACTGAAGCACTCAGTGGGTGGTGCGGAGGGCATACGTTCCCCCTCTAGGTCGCAGATACGCCTTGCTGATTGGTGACTACCAACTAGCACGAAATCTAGGTCAATCATGTGGCCGAACGACTCTAACCATCTAATACCACCGAATCAATGTACACCGTGATGGCGAGCTACATAGAATGGCGGCAACATTGCAAACTTGACTGACAATAGAATTCAGTCTGCACTAAACAGAGGACTAGGGAAATGACACCGGTTAATTAGGGTCCAATCAAAACTGAATAAACTGCTTTCATAGCAGGTTGTACTTTGATAGTTGAGTTACACTGGATTAAAAATCAGTATGTTCAAGACTGTGACACCGCCAGACAGAATAAAAAGTTCTCGAACAATGGATAAAGACATGACTTACGAAACCCTAATTACTTATCGCTTTTGAATGCTTATTGATTTATAGAGATCTTTTCAATCCTGATATTCCGAATCTAACATGAAACTTCAAGCATCAAAGTTTCAGTACCGGTTCTATCGTTGTTTTAATGAAGTGAGGCCCCCCTAACCTTCCCTTTATTTCCAGGTTCACTACTGACTGCGCAGTGTTCAAAAATGCGACATCCAGAAATAGAACCTGAAGCCCTCGTGTGGTTGGCGGGAAAATAATCCTACTATTGAACCACATACGCACGATCGATCCACAGAAACAATTCGGTCTACCATAGTGAGGTTTCGAAAGTATCAAGGAGCTTTTATCGACTCTATTCAAAAACATCAGGCGCTTAGGGTACCTTACTCATTATATAAGTAACAAAATTTAGCTGTGTTTAAAAACCAATCAATGGGATTACAGTAACTTATGACTGACTGATTTCAACGTAGAACTTTGCACAAATGTACACCAGTTCCAGTTGCCACAATCCTTCCATGTATCATACAAAGCAAAAGAGGGAGAGATAGTAAACAGAAATGTGAGTGAGATAAAAAGAGTAGTAATATGGAAGAACAATAAAGTTTTATTGGATATTATAAATCACAAAGAGTGAATGCATCTGCGCCAGCCATTGAGAACGACTGTTTTGAGCCAGCCATATCACCAATTGTCTCCAGCCTTCATTAATTCTTACCATCCCGGGTACCCCAACCAGTCAAGAAGCCTACACTTCCCTACCGGCAGGCTGGCTGAAACTAACTAACTAACATTGACTTAATGCCATGGTTCGGTTTGACCACCACTAGTTCTTTTCCTACCTGATCCTATGACAGCTAACATAGCCCGTCAAAGAAGACAATGACTAGGAATGCGTAACAAATGCCCCAGCCATGTCAATCGATGTAGCTTTACAACCTCATCAATTGATTTTCCTTCATTAACTGACACTCGACTGACGCCCAACCTTAATATTATTCACTCTTCCACGGTTAATCTTTTCATATCCTCCACTTTCAATGGGTATGTCTTACTGAGAGCCATAAAGGAGGACGGAGCGAACCAATGAGTGGTACACAGTTGACAGCCAGCCGGATATCACGTCTACTAAGCCAGAGATGGTGCAAGTTGGTGTATGCTAAAGGTGCTTTCTGTATCTTTGCTAAGATTTTGTCAGCGTTCTACCTGTTGGCACTGGCTGATGCAACTTCCCACATGCTTAAATGAGACAATGCGCAGAATTTCAAATAACATTTTAATGATCCTAATAATAATGAGAAGAAGAATTACACATCAGAAGACACATAAGAAGATTAGCATCACTTACCGATTTAAATGATGCACTGCAATCAGGAATAACAAAGGTTGACGTGTGACTTGAACTGTACCAGAGAGGATTGCAGATGCATATACACGAATCATACTGGAGTTGGTTTCTTCTGGTTCAAGAAAGCTTGTCAATGGTATCAGAAGCTATGTATGTATATATGTAATATAGAAAATATAAGTATCATATTATATCTATCCAATGACGCATATTCATTTGAGAGAAAACAAACAAGAAACTTAGAAAACAGATACCTGTTCAGTGATTTCATTATCAAAAGCAGCTGTACAATCGCATTTATATATATAAGTTAAGATAGATACAATTATTGTTCGAAAGTGTGACTATAGATTCATCTGCTCCGGTGCAGCAAGGTACATAAGTTGTTCTATGCACCCTTTATTTACTCTTTCTACATATATATTACAAAACAATTAGTTCCCTTTATGAATTTAGATAAAGCAATACGAAGACGTAATTTGTCTGAATCGTGTAATGCTGTATTTGTGCAACACATTTCGAACAATCTGATCACACAGCCACGAACTTGTCATAGGAATATATATGAAATTAATAAAGAGGTAAGAGGTGAGAAAATAGACTTAGGTCAAGTTAAAAGGATATATTCAAGGTCAAAATACCAATGAAGACCACTAAACCAAATAACAGAGGTAATAGTACATCTGCCCTGTCTGGTATCAAAACACAGTTTACCAAGGAAGGTAGGTTTAGTGTGATGACGAATTGTTGCTTTGGACGAATAAAGGTAGTGGCATATTTGATGGTGCTGCTATGGGAAGTCCTTTAGGGCCCCTTTTAGCAGATATTTATATGTCGTACACTGAGAATTTATCGGAGGATTCAATAAAAATGTGCCACTTAATAGAAGGCAGGTAGATGATATTGTAATCATCAGTGATAAGTCTTGTTCTGCTACCTCAGTTTTAAATTGAATGAATGAAGTTCAGAATAGCATATCACTTACGGCTGTATAAGAGGAAGATAATCGTTTTTCTTTCCTAGACGTATTGCCTAGTCGACAGCTTGATGGCTCAATGAAACGATCTAATTATAAAAAATCTACCCGGACAGGATAGTATCTTAATCTGCCCTGTTCGATACAAAAGAGCCTTACTAAGGTGCCTCTTCTGTAGAATCCAACGAATATGCACTGAAGACACGCTTGATGAAAAAGAAAGTTGACACAAACTCTGGTTGATAACAATTATCCGGACAAGTTCATCAGGAGATATAAAGTAGTCAGTGGAACACTAAGACCCACTCTCCAACTCGCCCCTAAGAAAGACGTGTACATCAAGCTACCCTATATGGGGCATCAAAGCAGCTTGATAACTAGACGAAGATTGAACGCTGCTGTTAAAAAGACTTTTTATGCATCTAATATCATTATAATTGAGAATGTAAAGCCAATATATCTATCTAAGCCCTTCGAACATGCGAAAAATGACGTCACACCCCACTGTATTTACCAATTTGAATGTACGTGTGGACACATACATAGCGAGGACTCATCGATCTCTGCAAGTAAGGGCTGGCTTCAGAGTATATTCCTAAATGGCTCCAGAAACAAATAGAATCCCCAGAATCCATTAATGGTGGGAACAGGAGACCTAGCTCTTCTATTGCGAAACATATTATAGAGACAGGAAATAAAATTGATGTTTACATATCTTTTAAACCTATCTATAAAACGTGTTTGGGGCGTATCATAAAGTTTGTGGAAGCTCTAGCTGGCAATTAGAAAGTTTGAACCACCTTTATGCGTTCAAAAACAATTCGTTATCACATTAAACATTCCTTGATGAAATTTGTTTTGATACCAGCCAGGGTAGATGTACTGTTACCTCTGTTATTTGGTTTAGTGATCTTCATTGGTATTTTGATCCTCAATATGTCCTTTTAACTTGACCTAAGTAGTCTGTTTTCTCACCTCTTAACTCTATATTAATTTCATATGTGTATTCCTATGACAACTTAGTATGTGTGTGATCAGATTGTTCGAAATGTGTTGCGCAAATACAGCATTACACGATTCAGACAAATTACACCTTCTTATTGCTTTATCTAAATTACATAAATTATTTTGGATACGTGTTACCATGCTATTTTTTCAGGGTGTCTTTCTTATTACGCAACTCTTGTCAGTGCTTAACAATCTTCACCCCATCCCCCAGTATTCGTCACATTTTTGAAACATTTCGATGAAGTAAACAATAACCCTAATTAATTTTTATTTTTTGTTTAACAATCCTAATGTACGCACATGCACACGTAGAGAAAATAATTATATATAAATGTGACTGTACAGCTAAGGAAATCAATTCACCGCCGAAAAGAGAAATGGTTTCTTTAATTGGTTCAGTATTAGTTACCTCCTGCCGGGTAAGTGTGTGGATGTACAACTATTGTGATCGACAATTTCTAACCCCCTCCCTCCATAGTGGAGAGACAGCATAGGTGGCTGGCATGCTGGTCATCTGAGGGAAACACCTTACTGCTACCGTTACATCCCTGTTTCCCAGTGGCAGTACGACTTCGTCCACAGACCCCCAGCATAGTGTAAAATACAAAATTCTTACACTATGTCGGTAACTGCTTTTAGTCTAATCGCTGTCGTAACAACCTTCCTAGTATGGTAGGACCTTCAGGAACAATAGTTCCAGCCAGTGTAGCTTGTTGGTGGGTGGTTGCGATATGCAAGCCCGGCGACCACCACATCAAGGTAGCAGCTATCGATCGGGTGCAGTAGAATACAATTCCATATTGGATAAGCTTATCTGATATAACACACAGTGATGAAATATTCATAATTCTATGATGTTTCCAGCACAGTTTATTACTCACAATCGCACACGACTTCATGACTTCCAACTACTTGTGGTCTTACCCCCTCCCCTCCTATTTTGATTACAAAATGAACAGGGATTGAAAAACTACATAAGGTGTGAATATATCGATATGATTATGAGTGATAAATTGATCTCGAAACGTCATCCAGTCATTCACACCATATCACTGTTGTTATATAAAACAAAGTTACTTAATAGGGTATTGTTTTATTCGGTCTATCTGTGAAGTTCTTCCATAAGAGTTGTCTTCGTCATGCAACGGCATGAGAAGTTAGACAGGCATTGGATAATTCTGGTGAGAATTTGCAATCTGTAGAGCCCACTTGTCAATACACGTGAGTGTATATTGTAATATCACAAACATTTTTTGGTGTGGTTATACTTTCTGAGCTAGGTGGTTTAACTGCGAAGGTCACATTGTCTTCCTAGACAGCATCTTCAGAGCTAAATTCAATATGAAGTAGGTTTTTAGAATTCTCTGTGACTTTATAAGTCATCTCTCCTGGGTAAGTTTGAACGAATTATTTCTTCAGAGAAAAAGACACAACATGAAACTTACTTGATTTAAAACAATACGAAGTGAATTCAAAGATTGTTGATGTTCTCCCCACAGTGCACGTCTATATTTAACATGACAAGCTTGTTGACATGGCCATAGGACAAGATTTGCAAACACTGGAGAATTGTATGATAATGCATTGTAGTGATTCACCAAATCAACATATCTGTTAAATAAAACAAGGCAGAGATTGAGAAAGTACACAAGAAAAAATGAGTGTGAAAATTACAAATACAAGTAGATCATCTATTGTCTGTGACACATGGTTATGTACCGAGGATAACTGACTAAATTTCCACGGTGGAGTTCTTTGGAAATCCATATATACGAAGAATTACAATTGCTAACCAAAACCAAAAAAACAGCTAAGCAACCAAAAGTTGATTAGCATTCAAACTAGAAGATTCACAAATAATATTATTATTATTGTTTCCTTTAGTTCCTAGAGGAACACAGGACTTCAGCCACACGTCTCCATTGTGTTTGGCTCTCCATTAACGTTTTCGCCTAGCCGCACGTCTGCCCACATGCTTTCATCTCCTCTTCACATCACCTCCTCCATGTCACCCCACCCTTGCACTAACGACCAACTCGCCAATTCCCATTTGGGTTCCACTCGAGAGCGATGGCCTGGTGTGTGATGTCACTCACTTAATGGTTTGTTTTCTCAGAGTATGGTGAATCCACCTCCATTTCTTCTGGCATATTTCTTGTAAAATTGCTTCCTGCAGGTTTGGTTGGTTCGCTCATCGCCAGAGATCCCTCACTATTGCTGATCTTTTCTGGCCATCTATCTGATCTTGAGTAGTAATGAGCGAAGACAGCTGTTGATGAAGGTCTGTAGTTTGTTTTAAGTTACCTTCGTAACAGCCCAAGTCTCTGATCCGTATAGTAGCACTGACTTCACATTGGAGTTGAAAATCCGAATCTTATTTTGCATGCTGAGGAGTGCTGTTGATCTCCACACAGACTTGAGCGGAATGAAAGCTTGCTTTGCTTTCCCAATGATCCTCGCATTAATATCCTCGTCTGTTCCGCCGCCTGTAGTTGAAACTATGCTTTACAGGTAGGTAGGTAAGTAGGTAAAGGAGGTTACTTCTTTAAGACTCCTTCCATTTATGCTGATTGTTGTCTGTTGTTGGCCAGGAATCTTCATCACCTACTTCTGTTTTCTCCATGTTCACCTGAAGTCCCTCCTATCTTTGATGCTTCTTCTGCCAACTTGTTGCTTTTCACTAACATATTTTCCAGTTTGTGAGAAGTCAGACATATATCATCGGCGAAGTCCAGATCCTCCAAGTTTTTTGTGGAGGTCCATTTTATGCCTGTTTCCTCGCTGACCACTGTCTGTCACATTTTCCAATCTACCAGATAATATAATCTCCTTTAAGTCAATTTAGATATTTCCATCGATTGACTGAACAAGAATGCTCGGTCTCAGATTGACATGTCGGCTTCTTGTGCAGATGCTTCGACGATGTCTGGTCATGTAACTTGAAGTCAATTGGTGGATAGTGACTAGTAATGGAGTCCACCAAGATGCGCATTTCGTTCTATTTGGGACGTTTGGCGTTTGAAACTATGGGCATTGGGTTCAAGCATCAGTGGGGAATGCAGGTACATCCAGCTGGCAAGCCTCAAACGAGACGAACTGCGCATGTTGGATTCCACTGCTAGTCAATATCTACCAACATAGTCTACATTTCGACAGACTGCAGCCAACACGATTATGGCACTGCTGCAAAAAGGTGTGGAAGGAAGGAAATGTGATTAATGATTGGAAAAAAGGTGACTTAGTTAAACTGCCAATGGAAAGTTGACTTAAGCCTTTACAAGAACTAATGTCACTTTATCCTCCTCCTATCTACTCCAACCAAAATATCAATTCACGTCATTCTAAAAACACTGAAACATGAGGTGGATGAATGACTTCACCTGGGACAGGTCGGATTCACGGAAACGCAGTTATACGCAGTAACACTTCGCATTATCTATCATGGAACACAGCCTAGAATGACAATTAACTCTTTGCCTCAACTTTATCAACTTTGAAAAGGCTTTCGATCATGAAGTAATTCGACAGTTGCTTCAACACCATCAAGGCTAGTGCCACATACAGTTATCAACCTCATTCAGAAGTTATGTGATGATGCTGGTACATAATGTTCTCATTAAGAAAAAACCATGCCATCAATTCAATCCCCACTGAAGTGAGAAGGTTAAGACAAGTACTTCCGGTTATATACACACCTTTCTTTCTAAGATTTAAATATATCTTAAGTATTCAGGCAGTCTATTAGTCAGAATATCAAGCTAGCGAAAATAGGACTTTAGGTGAAATACAAACGCAATCTGATAAAGTGCCTGGTTCACAGAGCAAGAGCAATTTGCTCGGATGAGTGTCTTGATGAGGGACTTAATAATATTAAACGGTTGCTGAGTGGAAAACGGTTATCCAGAAAAAGTTCATTGATAAGAATATGAATCTAAAATCAAAGCAGCCCAAGGTACCAACAGTTCCTAAAAAGGCCTTATTCTTACAAATGTAGTTCCTTGGGGATAACATCAGTGAGATACTAACACAACGCCTTAGAAATGCGGTAAAAAGAGCATTCCCTGCTGCTGAATTACGCTGTGTCTTCAAAACCACTCCTATTTTGCTTTCGGAAGTAAAAGATAAACTGCCTAATTTCGCCTCTTCCATGTGTATCTACCAATTTGACTGCTCCTGTGGAGCCAGTTAGTTGCATAGGCCGTACAATTAGGCGTGTTTCTCGTCGAATTTCCGAACATCACCCTGCATAGTGGTTAAGTAAAGGACAAATAAAATCTATTCGCAGCGCTATTCTATCTCACTCATCTTGTGGATGCAAACAGAACACAAGATTGGTGTTAACCATGCTTTCAGGGTCATTTACCGCATACCAACAAATTTTAATTTCGCCTTGAGGCTGTTGGGATTCACATTAAGAAGCCTAATTTGTGCATCTAAAAGAAGCTAGTTCACACATTATCCCTACCTTAGCCATCTAGGTTTGAATGATCCTTAATTTTTGTGAAATTTCCCTAATTTTAGTTGATACTCTGTTTGCTACTATATCTTTATTATTATTATTATTATTTAAGCATCTTTAATGAGCTGTAATTCCACTGTGATCTTACTTTACAAATCGATATTATTTAAAAAACATACTTACACTGTTATTGACTACTAATCTAGAATATTCTATGTATACAAACATGTATATATAATTGTAGAACCAGAAGAGGAAAAAATCGGAAAGGATATTCTTTGCTCAATTATTTTGTTTTATATAGAAAATAGAAAAGACAGAGGTTATGAACATTCTCAACCAATAGTTAATTCCAATCACCATCAACGCGAAAAATCTTAGGAAGGGCCGTCTCTCTTACAACTAAGGACAGGAATGATGACGACATCGAAGCCAGCCAGGATCGGAAAGCAGAAGCTGAAATCAGTATGGAGACCCAGACACACGCACTTAGCACAAGGAACAACATCGAAAATTTTCAACACAGACGAAAACCAAAAAGTTGGCAAAACAGGCATGAAGTGAAGACAGGGCTTCAAGTGAACGTAGAGAAGACGGAGGTGTTGAAGATGCCTAACCACCAACAACAACAACAACAGCAAGCACCAATCAGGAGAAATCTGATTGCAGCATCATTTTAACTACAGGCGGTTTGAATGAGGATATCTAAGTCAGGATCGGAAAGGCAAAACAAAACCTTAAATTTGAAATTAGTGTGGAAATCTATTGCACCCAAAATAAGGGACAAGATTCGGACTTCTTCTATATTATTTAGAAAATTAGTGAGTCGGCGAAAGCGTTTCCAACAGTCTACTGTAGAGTTTTTCATCAACAGCTACCGACACTTGATACTGAAACTCAGATGGCGGATCAAAATGGAGATGAATTGGATATACGCGCTGAGAAGACGTTCAAGTGACAGTACACACGTCAGGTAGGCCCTTGAGAGTGGATGTCGAATAGAGGAAATCACTAGTAAGGTATGGCAGGTCCCTGGATAACATGGGGAAGATAATATAAGGGGGGGGGAATGAAAGCTTGTAGGCAGTTGTGGAACGGGTTGAAAGTGATAGCGGAGAACCGAGTAGAAGGGGAGTGTGCTGCTAAAGGCCTGTTCCATTCAAAACACAAGCGATGAATAACAGCAGTAATGATAATAAAAATAATAATAACAGTAATAATAATCTACATTACTTCATCCCGACCGATAGCTGCTACCTTGATGTGGAGGTCGCCGGGGTTGCACATCGCAATGACCCACCAACAAACTACACTAGCTGAAACTATTGTCCCTGAAGGTCCTACCATGCCAAGAAGGTTGTTAGGATAGCGGTTAGACCACAATCATTTACCAGCATAGTGTAAGAACTTTGTATTTTACACCACGCTGGGGGTCTGTGGGCGAAATCGTACTGCTAGGAATATAACCGTAGTAAGGTGTTTCCCTCAGATGATCAGAATGCCAGCCAGTTATGTTGTCTCTCCACTATGGAAAGAGCGAGGATTAGAAAAAGTCGACCCCTAAAATTGTACATCCCGATTAACCCCACCTACAGTGATCCGCAACCGGCGGTAAGTTTATTAATACAGAAACAAACCAAGAAACCAATTCATACAGGCCGTGTCTGACCGGCCAGCATCAAGCAGTTGTCCCCTGGACCCTGCGGTCAAGCAACACTAATCCTCTTTCTGTTTCAGCTACCCGAAGAATCAATCAACTTCCACGGTATGGGCAGCCGGAAAGTAACAACCGCCCACACACTTCCAAGAGACAGACATTACTTCATCAATTAAACAAACAAAAAACTTACACGTCATAGAATGATGGACAAGTGACTGGTAGACTAACATTTTCCAGAAGAGAAGCTAATTCACTGTCGCCAGTAGTAGAAGCAGTATTAGTAGTAGTTGCTATAGTCGACAACTTTTTTATTGGTCCAATAGAATACAAAATTTCAGCTAGAAGTTGACCAGTTGGTGAAAAGCCTAAACCTCCAGCCCCAGGATATGCTATAGAACCAACAGTCAGTCGGACAATCGATTCAATAGGTTGCATAAATCCACAGGAGGAATGACTATCAGTAGACTGGCACAGTGTGGAAATTCTCTGAAGGAACCTTATCCATAATAAACAGTTCATTGAACGATCCAATATAAGCTGTAAAATGGATAGATTAGTTAGTAAACAGAAATTATACTTTTCAAGAATTTCATACAATGATACAATGTACGCAGCTGATGAGAACCAACGAAATAAAAAATGGATCCAGATTATTCTGTTAATCGTATGTTACCTCCAACTGTGTATACCAATTCACATGTATCTGCGGGAGCAGTTACATTGGAAGAACAGAGAGGAGGGCCTACGTCAGATTCTGCGAACATGTACCAAGGAGCCTCCGGTTAAAGGGACCGAATTATTTAAGCTCTTCAATCGCCGCCAAACACCTGATTGACACAGGACACCGAGTAGATGTGCTGGAATCATTCAAAATAATTAACAGACAAAGTACCTCAAGTCTTCTCAGGTTTGCTGAAGCTATAGCAATAAAACGATTTAAGCCTGACTTATGTGTTCAAAAAGAATCCGTTGTTGAACTTCAATTACCCTGGGAACTGACATCTTAGTAACTCTTTGTTTTCTAATTTTGTTAACTTATCTTTTCACTCCACCCCTCCCCTTTATGTTTCGTTTGACTCTCTTAAGAGATAATTTTTCTTGATCTTCTGAGTTCTGCTCACTGTATTACATCATCAACTTTTCATCTGACCTCATGTGCACCGTAATTTTAAAAATTTTGATATTCTCTTATCTAATTAAGTAATTATTGCTAATTGTCTTTTGTTACCACCTCAGCAACACAACTGTTAACAATTTTTTTTCAAGGAACTTCCCTCTACCAAGATATATATATATATATATACATGTCATGACACTTTAGACACCCTGTAAATCTCAATGCCTTATTTTACTATGACGCTCTGACACTATGCTTGCTAACGGACAAAAGTCTGTTAAAAATTGTACACTATTTATTTTAATAGCAAAAATTCAGGTTGTACGCAGCTGATGAGAACCAACGAAATAAAATGGATCCAGATCATTCTGCGCCAATGTTTCTTCTCTCTTTGTTCAGAAATTATACTGGTTGATAATATATATATGTACTATGTGATACAATGTATCGGCGGTTCAGTTGTGGAACACTGACCCACCATGCGACAAGTGGTGGGTGGGGGTTCGACTCCTGCCCGACCCACTCCTCAAACCTTGCTTAGTTGGCAGTTAGCCCGGTAAAGAGGGAAGGTTGGGTGTGAGGCGAGCAACTTGACCTCTTAAAAAAACGACACTGCTACTGAAACCTGAAAGTTGAAGCTTGACGCCTTGTGTTCCACTCACAACGCAAAGGTATGAAGTAAATAATAATAAATAAAACAGTAAATACTGATAGAAAAATCAATTCAAAACACGCCTCATCATCTGTGAAACTAGGATGCCGGATGCTCACTAATCGATGACTATCTGATCCTTGTCTATGAGCTTCTATATAGCTTCGCTTTCATAAGATGACTTACACACTGACTGACTGACTGACTCAGATCCAACGTGGAACCAATTTGAGCCATATCACAACAACTGTCTCAAGCCATTGATTTTTAACATCCAAAAGACCCCTCCAACCGGATGATCTGCACCTCCGTGCATGGCTCAGGCTAACTATAAAGCACTTCACAGAATGATGTCAGATTTCCATATGACCATCTCTGATTTTCTTCTCTAACCTAATCCGATGTCAACTAACACCGCTGAGCACGCACAACACGTGTCAGAGCAATCTCAGTCGAAGACATGAAACGCCTGACTAGCTGTCTTTGGTCATAGGTGTCTGTGTTCTATCTCCCGTGTGAAGTGGTATGATAGGATGAGCAATATTGAGGTTAGCCTTCGGTCGAGTGCTAGGTAAGGAGGGCGAATTAATCGACGAGGCTGTCAAGCTACATCTACTGAGATTGTTAGGACATGTGTTACGTATGCCTAGTCATCGCCTTCCTGACGTAGGGTCAGGCTGGAAAGGAGTTAGTGGTGGTCAAACCAAAACATGGCTTCATCAGTCAATGAAATCCACGGCAGTTAGTTTAAGGCAGTCACGTGGGAAGGTGTAGACTGGCTTCTTGGTTGGGGTATTCGGGAGGGGGGGAAACACCAATACAAGCTGGAGACAATCGGTGATGTGGCTCAAAGTAATCGTCCTCAATGACTGGCGTAGATGCATCCACTCCTTGTGACTTATAATACCCAATGAAACTATATTGCTCTTCGTTATTACTATTCTTTCGTATCATATCCCTATTTACTGTCTCTATTATGTGTTTTTTCTACTTTCTTCTCTTGCTTTGTGTGCTACATGGAAGGAGTGTGGCGACTTGAACTGCTGTACATCAGTACAAAGTTCTATGTCGAAAACAGACAGACTATTGATTCACCGTCACAACCTTGTCGACTGACCTACCCACCTTTGCCTAACACTCTACACCTAGTCTAAGTATTACATCTCAGATTATACCACTTAAGACGCGACATTGAACGTAAACAATTGTTCACAGGATTTCATCGTGAGCCGACATTAGTTAGAGAACCATTGGAAAACCAGCTGGGAGTACTGGACAGCTGTTTCCTCCATCCAAGTTTGGGACTCTTCATCAGTACGCACTCAGCGGGGTTCGAACCCAGGACCTTTTGGTTACAAGGCGAACTCGTAGACCATAAAGATACTGGGACCCGATACAATGGCCAGTCTATGAATTCTAACTTCTGCCAATTCACGAAATAGCGCAACCACTAGCCAATATCTTCAAACCCAAGTGGGTGCCTACTGATGAAGAGTCCCAAACTAGGATGGAGGAAACAGCTGTCCAGTACTCTCAGCTGGTTTTCCAATGGTTCTCTAATCAATGTCAGCTCATGATGAAATCCTGTAACCAATCAACCAAATCCCTACAAACCAATACTTGAATAGCAAACAATTGTGTTTAAAGTCCACTGGTCTTCTCATATCTTCCAGTTTCAATGACCATATCTGGCAGCCAAAAAAAGAAAGAGATAGACGGAGAACTGTGCAGCAGCACACACGTCCGTATGACCAACAGCCAGACGGATATCACTCCCACACCAGAGATTAAGTAAGTTGGTGAATTCCAATGTGAGCCACCAGTATTTGTGCTGATCATCTTGTCGGTAATCAGTTGAATTGGACCGATTCAACTTTCCGAATGTGTAAAGTGGTCAGGTTAACACTCCAAACGACTTCACCGCCAATTTTTTTTTGAACTAAGAGTCGATGCGGTTCACCACTTTTGAAGGATGTACACTACACACACTTTTCTCGTATGTCTGGCATGCGATTCACCCCTGTAAAATGTAAGATGCTGCTACAGGACTGGACTACGTCAACTCCTAGCTTAGTGATAGGGAGTGAAGTGATAGAACATGTTCACCACTTCACCTATTTGGGAAGTTGTATCAGCACTAAAGGATTGATTGGTGACGAAATCTCAGCACGGATCCAAAAAGCTCGGGCTGCTTTCGCTAACTTACACCGTCTCTGGCGTAGGCGTGACATCCGACTATCAACCAAGGGACGTGTGTACTGCTCAGCAGTGCGCTCCGTCCTTCTCTATGGCTCTGAAACATGGCCAATACGAGTTGAAGACATGAAAAGGTTGTCTGTTTTTGATCATAGATGTCTACGATCTCTTTCTCACGTTAGGTGGTATGATAAGGTAAGTAATGCTGACGTTAGGTGTAGAGTGTTGGCCAAAGAGGGAAAATCAATCGAAGAGGCTATAAAGTTACATAGATTGAGATGGTTAGGTCACGTGCTGCTTATGCCTAACCATCGCCTCCCCCGACGGGCATTACTAGCTGATATAGGTGCAGGTTGGAAAAGAGTAAGTGATGGCCAAACAAAAACATCGCATCAATCAATCCATGAAATCCTTGACAGTTAAACTGAGTCAGGTAGGGAGCGAGATGCAGACTTCCGGGTTGGGGCTCGCCCTCGGGACTCTAAGAATCAATGGCTGGAGACAATAGGCGACATGGCTCACAATCGTTGTCAATGGCTTACGCAGATGTATTCAGTCTCTGTAATATTCAGTGTCATATTCCTTTCTACCATTACTCATTCTGTTTCACTCTTATACTTGTCAAAACTCTATTGATTCTCTTCACTCATCTTCTTGTCTACCTTTGTGTGCTATTTGGAACGTGGCAAGTCGAACTTCTGCACTTCAGTGCCAGGTTCTATCTCGAATCCAGACAGAGAGACTACACACGCAGTGTTTAAAAGAGATGAATTCATGGAAGGTAGTGTATAATAAAATAAAGGTATGTAAGGTACATACATACATACATACCATACCTTACGATAAGTTTCATCCTCTTCATTAATCTTTTTCGATTTTGATAATAAATATGCATGAATGAATGGAGTATACACCCATTCTACTGGAATCAATCTATCACAGATAGATCTACGTTTTGAAAATATAGGACCTAGTTTAAAATCCACATGACTGTCAGCTGATGATTGGTTCACAGAGTCCTCTTCAGTAATGTCTTCAAGGTGAGTTGATAAACCTGTAAAAAGAATAATAATAATAGTATTATATATATATATATATATATATATATATATATATATAAGCGAGAATGAAACTATGACTTTGTCGTAACCATAGTGATGCAAATAGTACATAAACAGATACGTCCTGTTGACACCTTCCCCTCTGAGTGACTCATTGGTTTCAGCATAAAACTTTGCATAGATATGCAGCAGTCCAACTTACCATCCGACATGTAGCATACAGGGCAAGAGAAGAGAGTTAAGAGAGATTCAAAAGAGAGATCATAAACAGAAGCATGTGTTTGTGTGAGGGAAAAAGAATAGAAACATGGAAGAAAAATAGTTTTTTTGGGGATATTATAAATCACAAAGAATGAATGCATCTGTCATAGCCAGTGAGGACGATTTCAAGACAGTTGCCTCCAGCCATCAGTTCTTACCATCCCGATGACCCCGATCGGCCAGGAAGTCTACACTATCCTACGTGGCTAGCTGCCCGGTTCAAACTAACTGTTGTGGATTTCATTGACTGATGAAGCAATATTTTAGTTTAACCAGCACTAGCTTTTTTCCAACCTGATTCATCCTATGTCAGCTAACACTGCCCTTCGGTAGAGGAAGGCTGGGCACTTCCCTGTAGAATAATTTATACTATACCGATAGTAATTCAGTGTGAATTGGTAAGGTGGGTCGTTTAACTTGGTTATCACATCACACGTTATTATCAGCACTAATGGAATGGACTATTTTCCCTTGTCCTTTCAGTAGATAAGTTAGTACTATCTTTTTAACTTGGTGATATGCATTTTTTGATTATGTATGAGAAAAGGAGTTCAGCAAAGAGTCACTCTTTTCAGACATATCATTCTCAAGCTGTATAATCCGACTTATCATAGTGCGGTCCATGAGTGGTAAGGTCTTCGTACATAAAAACTACAATAACTACTCCGAAGATAGTACCCAGGTTGACCCAAGTCAGTCGGAAACTTGGCGCGTCACGAAGGGCACTAAGAACAAACTATAGAGCTTCATTACAGCTGTCTTCGCTCAATTCTCAAGATCAGATGCCCAGAAAAGATCAGCAATAGTGAGGGATCTCTGGCGATGAGCGAACCAACCAAACCTGCAGGAACCAATTGTACAAAAAATATGCAGGAAGAAATGGAGGTGAGTTGGACATACTCTGACACTAAGTGACATCACACGCCAGGCCATCACTCTCGGGCGGAACCCGAATAGTAAGCGGTGAGTTAGTTGGTCGTCAGTGCAAGAGTGACATGGAGGAGGTCATGTGAAGAGGAGATGAAAGCATGTAGGTAGACGTGGATCCAGGCAGGTGCAAACGTTGGCAGAGAACCAAACGCAACGGAGACGTGCGAATGAAGTCCTATGTTCCTCTAGGATCTAAAGGAAACAATAATAATAATAATAAATAGAGACTTCGAATAAAACATTTTTGAAATCAAATTATAACAAGAACGTAATCAAGGCTTACTCGACTGATGAGTATTCTCATTATTCTGTGAGGTTTCCGCTGTTGCTGTTGTTATCGTTGACGACATCACGTGTACTAATTCATGATAATAAAGTTCTTTTATCTCAGGTAAATGCGGTATGATACGTTCAATACTGAAATTATCAAGGACAAATGCAGAGAGCGAAAAAAAATCAAAACAAACAAACAAGAGAAAGGTTAAAAATGTTTTCAACAGAAGTTCAGTTCTTGCTTTCAAGTGTTTCTTTCCTTGCATACACATTCAGAAAATATGTTTGAGCAGTGATACTTACACCTGTTATTGAAATTTACACTCTTTCTAGCTGTCTTTGATCGCAGGTGTCTGCGTCTTATCTCTCTTGTTAGGTGGTAATATTGGGGTGAGGCATCGGTCGATTGTTATGTAAAGGAGGAAATTCGATACACAAGGTTGTGAAGCCATACCGATTAAGATGGTTAGGACATGTGTTACACTGTGGTGAGAGCTAGCTGCAAGCCAAAAATTGTAAACAGCAATTCACGTCATTGTTTACTTTCCGAATCGGGGTCATGAGAAAGAAAAACAATAACAAAGCTTAACCTTGAGGAACTCACCAACCAATCACAGCGGACTAATCGTGTGCAAATACGATTAGCAGATATATGGCCTGACTTTCTAAGAAACGGTCACAAAGAGATGACCGAATAACCTTCGGCTAAAAATAACGAATTATAATGTACATAAAAATCTATAAATATCCCTTGATTTTCTGAATAAACGATCTGTTGCCTGGCCCTTGTCCTCTGTCGTTACAACACATATCTAGACACAGCCTACTTCGATAGGCAATGTTAGCCGACACAGGATCGAGCAGGAAAAGAGTCAGTGGTGCAGAAACCGCAACTTGGAATCAATCCATGAAACCCTTGACAGTTATTTTGAGGTGTGTAGACACTACCTGGCTGGATTCCTCTGGATGCTAAGAACCACAGGCTGGAGACTACTGGGGATATGCTTCGGAATCATTGTCAGTGGTGCAGATGCAGTTACTGTCTGTGGTCGTCTTTCATATCCACTACACACTCACGATTTTTCCAAGCTCCTTTTATTTCCTTCTTCCTGATATTCCTGTTTATTATAATCTTTTAGAAAGTCTGTTTCCCTTTATCTTGTCTTCCTTTGTGTGCTTCATGGAGTTTGGCAACTCGAAGTGCCGAACTTCTGTGCAAAGTCAGTCAGCCACCTCCTTTCTAACGTTGCGTTTCGGGGAAGATGATGGCTAGTCAATGAGTGCGAACACATGTACTAACCATCTCATTCAATCGATTTAACTTCACAAACTCGTTCATTGATTTCCCTTGCTTACCCAACACTCCACGCCTAACCTCAATATTACTTACCGTATTATACCGCCTAACATGGAAGATAGAACGGAGACACGTATGATCAAAGACAGCTACCCTGACTTTTCATGTCTTTCACTTTCAATGGCCATGTCTTGCTCACAGCCATAAAGGAGGACGGAGAGAACTGCTGTTGAGCAGTATACACGCCCTTCGGTCAATAGCCAGCCGGATATCACGTCTACACCAGAGATGATGAAGGTTGGCACAAATACCACACGTGCCTTCTGTTACCGTGCTGAGATTTCGACAGCGATCAGCCCGTTGGTACTGGCTGATGCAAATTCCCAAAAAATAAGTGAAGTGGTCAATACATAATACCACTTCACTGCCCATCTATAAGCCAACCAGGAGTCTTTGTATAGTCCAGTAATGTAGCATCGTCTTACATTGGACACGAGCAAATCGCATGCCACAGATCCGAAGATTTCTGCTCAAGGTGTTCAGAAGATTAGGTTTTATCGACGCCTTCACCTAGGAGGACTATATCATCCGCGTATTCCAAGCCAGCAAGAGTATTCCTTGGTGACAAGTTAATCCCTGAGTTGCTGAAGCCAGTTAGGGTTAAGTCCATTAGTACCTCTATAATGAAATTAAACAGAAATGGGGAAAGTGGATATCCCTGAAGGATACCAATGGTTGTGTTTATTTCAAGTGACAAATCTCTGTTAGCTCTTACACGACTGTGTAAATTCAAGTAGAGTATCTTCATTGGTGCAGGTCGAGAAATATGGCAATCGCTGGATGCCGATAAATATTCCTATGCTCCAGAATCTGTGAATATATGATCAATAAACCCTCTACCTAGTCTAAAGTTTGCGCGGTTTTCTCGTGTTTGTTTCCTATCAAACACCACTCAATCTACGCATTAATATTGACCCTAGAACTGTAGATAGCATATTAGTCAAGCTAATCCCCCTATTTTAAAACAAGCAATAAAAGTTAATAAAGCAGGATTAAATGAATTCATCAAATTTCGGTAGAACTCGTCAGCTGAATACTCTACATACAAGGATATAAATACTTTTGAAATTACATTGGGAGATATAAGACTGATAAGCACAAATAAACTGCATTGAATTAGTCATGCAGAAAGACAGGTGAGAATGTTTTCCAGGTCATGTTCAAATAGATAAGGGGAGAGAGAGTATGAGAGATCAAAGTTAAGATAAATCGCATTACGCTTCAATTACATCACTTAGATAAACAACTAGACATTAAAGAATATATCAAGAATTGCAAACAGAGTAATATCAATAGTAATAGTTATAATAACAATAATAATAACAGTGTTGAAGTGAGTTAAGATAATCCTACTGATAAAGGATAGTTTTAAATGAATCAAGAATAATAATAATAGGTAGAATAATAAGTAAAACGTATAACCATGGCAGATTCAGAGTCACGACCATCTCCTTTTGTACACAGAGACCTGGTTTATAAACTCGAATTGTACTAGCCTCTGCAACTGCAAGCATCTTCTTGTTTCTTTGTCTGCTGACAATAACAGTGAATGACTTGGCAGCGTCGATATCATGTCCATAGTCCACAAGATGTTTTGTTACTGAGGATTTCGGCACTTAGCACTCAACTGTTTTCAACCATTTTGGTAAATGCTCCATCATGCGAGTAGACAATCGCCTTTCCCTACGACCTATGTATTCGCTTCCACAAACACGCTCGAATTGATATACGCCCCTATGATTATCACAGGAAGACTTATCTCCCTTTCTTGTATATACTTAAAGAAAACAAACGCATACATCCCCCCCCTTCAAATGCAATAACTTACTTCATATTGTTGCTAATTTCAATTTGTCGACTGCTGAATACAACTTCAGAGATCAGACGATTTCTCAGGCCTTCTTGCCCTTTACGTAAATACGGAAGGATACGTAAAGCAGCTAAATGATTTATATTATAACCGCCAAAACTATCCGAAGTCAATGCGGATTTTAAATATCCCGACAAAGCAGATTCATCTTGTTCTAAAATCTGTAATACAGAAGAAAAAAAATGAAACAAAGGTGATTAAACTTCGGTCAAGCATGTTAAGTAATATGAACAGGAAATTGTGGTTGGCTGGTTGGTTGGAGGCAGTCGGTTACCAGTGTTACTATTAAAAACGCGAAATTAGGCGCTACACAAAATCGAATAGTTCTTGGGAGTGCTCGGGTTCTACCCGGACTCTCAGATCTAAGTAGGTGGTTGTCTCAATAAGATACATCCTGAGCCTTTGATTGGAAGTCTGGTCCACAAAGGAATGGAGCAGCGTCCCCATGGTTTCCAATGTCCACAGCAAGTTCTTACGCCGTTCAATCCGTCCAGATTCTGGACACCATATATGCTATAGGTTTGGAATTAGGGTTCTCTAGTTTCCCTAGGTAAACCAGTATGTTCACCAATCCGGTTGTAAGCGCCAAACGTCCGTACCAGCCACCTTAATTTTGTAAGGAATGCCATCACCACGTGAAGCAAGTGAACAGGACTTATCTGCCAGAGGCTGTGAACGCGTGGCGACATGCGATCATTTCAAGAGGAAGGCTGAAGTCTAACCCCCGTCGGCTATATGACGTCGTTTATGGGACATTTGGAGGTCAGCTGCATTTCTGAATAGTTCAGTAGTAGCATATTGGATTATGCGAATTTCAGTAACCTTGGTAACATTACTTACTTCGAGATTGCGGATATGTCATGCTGACGAATATCGACAAGCAGAAAACAGTCCCAGGATTTCTTGTATAAAACCACCACCTATCACCAATCTAAAATGCGACGCAGTAACAGTGACCCACATAGCGAACCTGGCTGAAAAAATGCAATTAACACCAACACTACTAAGGACAAGACACCTAGCACTACTTACTTCCTAGTAGTGGCCAATCAATACAGAAAAATAAGTTAAATTGTGGTATTCAAACCTACACACTCACTCAGAGACAAAACAAGCTCTGTAGGCTAAAAGACCCGTAGACTCAGTTAAACAAAATAATATAATTTACAAAATACCCTGCAATGACTGTGAGTGAGGTGAACTATATAGGTCAAACTAGTAGATAGGGGGCAATCAGATTGTTGGAACATAAGAATTTAGCTAAGGTTAGAATGGTTGAGCCTGAGAAGATAGGTAATTTAGAAGAAAAACTCAGCAATTACACTGCATGCATTAACACACAACCACACAATAGAGTGGGAGAGGGTTAAAATTCTAAGAAGTAATGTAGATAGGTTGAGAGAGAAAGATTGATTACTGAATCCTGCCTGGTTCACTGAGTCTACACCCAACACATGCAACAGATATGACCCAATGCAAATAACAGAGATATGGAAGATATTGTTACTACCAGTGAGTCAAATCAGAGGAGGATAATAAACAATAAAGTTAAGATGTATTCAATTCACATCATAACATTCTAACAAGTTACTTATTATGACTATAAAAACACTCGTCTTATTTCCCATCTGATTAGATTTGATTGATAACACTCATATTATTATCTCTGAATGTACATTATCCTATATTGACTTTTATTCAAATATCTAGTCAATTCCACACATGTATATAAATGAAGGAAGAAAGTTGTGTGAGTAGCTTGATATGATTATGAGTGGCAATAATTTGTGCTCGAAACGTGGTCATCAGTTAATATTACTGTCTAACACTGTGTGACTTATCAAAATAAAATCTTACCTTTACCTAAAAGTCTACGTCTAACCTAATGACCGCTAACAATCTTAAACCGCATAACGGAAGAAATTAAACACAGACACATATGGTCACACACAGTTAGTTTCTTCACATCTTCCAATTTTCACGGACGTGTCTACAGCCGTAGAGATCGAACAGAGCAAACTGCAAAGCAGTATACACATCCTCTGATTGACAGACAGATATCACGTCTAGGTCAGAAATGACACCAGTTAGTATTAATGCTGAGATTCTTCCAGCAAACAGTTAATACGAATTATTAAACTAAAGTAAGTTTCTCCCATTACTTAGTGACTTAAAAGCTATATGAGAATGCCACAAGTCAAGTGACCCACAACAGAAAACTCAACGAAGCCTTCCGTTCAAGTGAAGACAGGAGTAAGACAAGGCTGCCTATTATCACCAGTGATATTCCTAATTCTGATGCATCACACTGTGGGGAGTGAGAAGACGAGAATATGTTGTACCAATAAGAAGACTCTGGAAGATCTGTACTTCTACGACGATTTATGTCTAATGTCAAATAAACTCAACGACCTGGAGGCGAAACCAAGAAATTGGTGGAAGAAGCAGTCAGTGAAGACAGGACTTCAAGTGAACATAGAGAACACGGAGGTGATGAAAATAACCAACCAACAACAAGAACCAATCACTATCAGTGGAGAAAATTTGAAGGCAGTCACTACTGTCACTTATCCAGGCAACATCGTATCAACTACAGGAGGCACGAATTGGAATGTTAAAATCAGAATGAGAAAGGCGAGAAAAACATTCGGCCCTCTGAAATCAGTTTGGAAAGCTTCTGAACTCACCATTAGGAAAAACAAAGTTAGGAATTTCAACACTAACTTCAAGTCAGCGCTTCCGTATGCTTCAGAGACTTGACTTGGATGTCACTAAAAGCATTTCCAACAGGCTACTGCAGACGTTTATCAACAGCTGCCATCTTCGCTCGATACTGAGAATCTGATAGCCAGAAAGGATTAGCAACAAGAAACTCGGGTAATGAACAAATCAAGGACCTATTGCTCAACAAATATGCAGAAGAATATGTTGTACTCGCGACACAGTGGGATAACAATAATAATAATAATGTCACTGGCATTAAGCATATAGAAACCCCAGTTTTTGAGGTGGTTGTGTTCTCTGAGCCAGCTGGATAGTTAATTTGTGAAGCTTTCATCGTCCTACTAGGCGACATCTTCAACGCATACTTCAATTTGTTGAAGTGAGCTTTTAGATTTCTCCACGAGTTTATTATTCATCTCTCCTGGTGGGTGACCTTGTACGTCATGATTGGTTGTTTTTGTGTGTTTTCAAACCCTCTAGGCTACTTGTATTTGTATAGATACTGACTGTTTCCTTGACCTGAAGTTTGACCCACTGTGTGTGAGATTTCCTTCTTATCGATTGGTAAATTTTGTCTATGTCAGTGTGTCTATTGATTGACGACTCACTGGAATACCAGGCTTCTAAAAATTCTCTGGCATTCTTGGTGTTTCCTCTGTCCAATATTTGAACGCTGGTTGTCCCAGTCGAATTGATGTCCGTGAATGTCTGTATATGGTGACGTATGACGAAGTGGATGACATGTCTTCTGACAGTTAGTTTATGATCATGGATACGATGACGAAGAAGACATCTTTCTTAGAAAGAAAGAAGCCTCACACACACAAAGGGTTAAAGTTCAAGTCAAAGAAACAATCAGTTCCAATACAAGTAGCCTAGAGGGTTTGAAAACACACAAAAACAACCAATCACGACGTACAAGGTCACCCATCAGGAGAGATGATTAATAAACTCGTGGAGAAATCTAAAAGCTCACTTCAATTCAACTTGAAGTATGCACTGAAGATGTGCCTAGAAGGGGGCAATGAAAGCTTCACAAATTAACTATCCAGGTGGCTCAGAGAATACAACCACATCAAAATCATCCACCTGAGCTAAAAATCTCCATCATATCTAAACCCCAGTTTATATGTCAATACATGAATTATGCTTCTATAAAATCGATCCTGCTCTATCAAGGCATTACACATTATACATAAGTATTCGATCTAAAACATTGACAAGATACCTAAACTACGTGACCTAAAATATTGTTGACAATTGATATCCATGCAATCATACCGTGTTAGCTAATTTATTTATTAAACTGGAATTTATTAAACTGGTCAAAAGATTTCTTTGGTGATTATAATTACGGTTGTACAACTCATGAAAATGAATCGTCGAAAAGAAAATTTTCTTCGCTGTTTGTGCCTTTTTCTTTTAATTCAGAATAAAGCTAAGGACCCGATTCGATGTTAAAGTGGTATTGCATCATTCAGAATTGCTGCTTAAAATATAAAAATTCAAACGCGTAAACCAAATTCCTTGAAATTACCGATACATATGTAACAACATTTCAGATGGATATGCATGAGATAGAACTTGACCTCTTGGAAAAGTCTTTGCTCATGTACCAGACTATATACCATAGTTATCGTGTAAGGGTTCCACCAACACCACCAATCGCAACAACAACAACAGACAACAATCAGCATAAATGGGAGGAACCTGAAAGAAACAACCTCCTTTACCTACCGACCTGGAAGCATCGTTTCAACTACAGGCGGACGGAACTGATGAGGATATCAAAGCAAGAATCGGAAAAGCAAGACAAGCTTTCACTACTCCTTAGTCTGTGTGGAGGTAAACAGCACTCAGCATCAAAAATAAGATCCGGATTTTCAACTCCAATGTCAAGTCAGTGCTACTATACGGATCAGAGTGTTGGCGTGTCATAAAGAGCATCTCAGACAAACTACAGACCTTCATTAACAGTTGTCTTCGCTCAGTACTCAAGATCAGATGGCCGGCCAGGAAAGATCAGCAACAGGGAGGGATCTCTGGGGGCGAACCAACCCAGCAGGAACCGATTGTGAAACAAATGTGCAGGAAGAAATGGAGGTGGATTGGCAATACTCTGAGCAATGAAACCATCAAGTGACGTCACTAGACAAGCCATTGCTCGAGTGGAACCCAAAAGGGAAGCGGCGAGTTGGTCGTCAGTGTGATGGTGACTTGGAGGAGGTCATGTGAAGAGGAGATGAAAACGTGTGAACAGACTTGGAGCCAGGTAAAGACTCTAGGAGAGAACCGAACGCAATGGAGATGCACGGCTGAAGCCCTATGTTCCTCTAGGAATTAAAGAAAGCAATAATAATAATATCGTGTAAGGGATTGTGATACTACCCAGTTGCCTTGGCTGGTGTGGGGATAAGTTTGCCTGAGAGTCAAGCTGATCAGCCACTTTTCCACCATAATGATACATCCACTGACTTGGCAATTATGCTGTGGCTTTCAGGAGGGTCGAATACATTCATTCTAGCCTTTTGCAAGACTGGAACTACTACATACAGTAACATCATGTGGCTCAACTGCTAGGGTGCCTTCTCATATCATCCGTGCATCAGCATGTATCTTATGGATAGGAGTATTTATAACTGAGTTTGTTGTTTTATAAAATTGGGCTAACAATTCAATACTGATCACATTCCATGTGACTTAAAAAATCAATGGACATCACGGCTCTTTCATACGTATACACCTAAGTTAATTGGTAGTAGTATTATTGTTACTACTATTTTTAGCATGTTCTAAATTTAGAATGTGTGAATGACAGCTTAAAACCAATTGGGACATCTCCAAGCGACGAAGCAGACGAGCTCAATCAACTAAAAAGCCACCCGATATAATACGAAAATCAACAAAGATAATTTAACTATTTATAGCACAGTTAATTTGTATTCAGTATCTACCACTGTTTTCTGTGTAAAAACATTCATGCTACTCACAAATTATGAGTAGTATACATATATTTTCTTCAAAATATCAATAATTGTATGTTCTCACCTAACTGTACCACGTTTATTATGCTGCTGTGTGAGTGACTTGATATGATTATGAGAAACAATTTGTGCTCGAAACATGGCCATCAGTTAATATTACTGTAGGACACTGTGTGATTCATCAAAATAAAATCTTATCCATAATGCAGTTATACTCTACCACCACAGTGCCCAAGTTTTATACGTATATCAATTCGGACGTTCAGTTTACCGAAACGAAAGGTCGAAATAATTCGTTGACCTTGCATATTTCTCTGAAGAAATCTACATAATTAGTGCCGAAAACGTGATCCTACTTGAAGAATCTCAAAACAACCAACCATGTTAAAGAAATCCATAGAAATAGTCCCCAAAAACATACTAACCTACCCACCTCCTATAAAGTCACCTGGGAAATGATAACCTAGGATGTCGGTGAAAGTTTTGTACAAAACAATAAAATCTCAGTGAGTACTTTCACTTCATGAACTGTAACCAAACAACTTTGAAACTCGGTTTGCATAGTTCTTGTTCTCTTTCCGCATTTTTCGTAGAGGTAGTAGAATTTTTCAGATGACCCAGACAAGTGTTGAATTATTGTTCCTAATGCACGTATTTCCAGTTGATTCGATAAGTAGAACTTCAGTTATCAATCTTTCCCTCCACCCTACTATTATATTGAATTTGAAGACTGTCACTTTGTTCGATTCTGTTGCCTGATACTGTATGTGTGGCTGGAAGCAGCGTAAAAGCTAAGCTTTGCTCTAAACTTCTCATTTGAGTATGATCTACTAATCAAGATTCGATTAAGTTTTTGTCCTCCCCACTAGTCAAATTGACCCTGGCTTACATCTTTGACCTCACAATCTGTACAAGGTATAAGATGAATTAGGTTATTCTATGTAATGACCTCCAAAGCATAATTTGGCCAAACATATAGTCTGTTACTGAATGAGTTTATGAATTTGAATGTTAACTTTCATGTCGGCTGTGCTAAGAATCCAATGTAACACTTCAGAGGTCGCCTCATATTGCATCCATAACTAGTTTGTATCATATACAATTTAATATTTTACAACTTTACACGATTAGCAGAAAACTAAAAGTGGCGCCTTGGATCTACAACACTAATGCAAGTCAGTTCTTTTAGATGGTTGAGAGACTTGGCGCGTTTCCGAAAGCATTCCCAACAAGCCACGGTAGACTTTTATCAACAACTGCGCCTTCACAGGCTCCATACTAAAGATCAGATTGGTTAATTTGAAAGCACTGATTAGCAACGATGAATTGTTGAGGCAAACTGACCAAAAATCTATCGTCCAATAAACATGTCGGGGAAAGTAAAGATGAATTGGACACATGCTGAGATTTGGCGGGTCACAAAGAATATTTCCAACAGGTTGCAGACCTTTATCAACAACTAACTGTCTTCGCTCCTTACTGAAGATCTGATGGCCAGAAAGAATCACCAACAAGAAACTATGGGAACAAACAAAACAAGAACCAATCGCCAAACAACAAATATGCAGGAGAAAGTGGAGATGGATTGGACACTCACTGAGCTGAGGAGGCCGCTGGGTGACATCGCACATCAGGCCATAGCTCGAGTGGAACCCGAAAGGGAAGTGGCGAGTGGGACGTCCAAGAGTGAAATGGGGAAGATCGTTTGAAGAAGAGTTGAAACAGTATGGACTAACATGGATGCAGGTGAATAAATACGGCAGAAGACAGAAGCAAGTGGAGACGTGCAGTTGAAGCCCTATGTTCCACTAGGAACCCAAGGCAACAATAATAATAATAATGGGAAGACCGTTGAGTGACATGACACGCCTAGAAGGCTCTCGAGTGGGACGAGTTGGCAGACCCAGGGTGACATTGAGGAGATCAGTTACCGTACAGTCAGAAGCCTTATGTTTCACTCATGACCCAAGGGGAAAAAATACACAAATATCTCAGTATATAGTTGCTATAAGGCTTACTTGAGAGAATAACAACAGTATCCTGGCGATCAATTCACACTCAATAGATATCAATAGATTCGGTTGTTGTTCTTCCGGTGCTGACGATGATGATTTCTGCTCAGCGGTGACACTGAGTGATTTCCATTGAAGACATGATTTTTGACAGAAACGTTTAATCCAATCAATTAAAGGATCAAACAGAGTAGTACTCAACATTGACAACTCATGTCGCCTTCCTATCATATGTATTCTGAATTGTAAGAAGTAACACTCTAAAATGCTTATCATAGCTGACATCAGAGGTAGATATCTTGTATTCATCTGCTCTGGACTCAGTGTGACTTGATCACATTCATCCTCCTGTCGTGTATTTGTCTGTCGTACAGCAATGGTATTAACTTTTGGCCATACTAATCCAGTTAACCGAGTGTAATGCGCATTATACGCAAAGTGTAGTGCACATCCATAGTCTGGTAGACAATTTGGCGATAAACTGACTAGTTGTAGAACGCCATCATCTAAAAGCATACCATGATCAACAGAGCTCCAGTCAAGTTTCCTTTCATTATCTGCTTGTTGTTGTTGTTGTATAATATTTGTGCACGAATCGGGTAGCAGGCTGGCTGACACATCACGTACATGCATTGGATAACCAGTAAGGATACTTTCATTTCTATTAAAAGGAAATGTTAAAAGAAAGAATATGATAAAAGGTAGAATAGAATAAAGGCGTTTACAACTGCCTAAAGGTCATGAAGTGAACTTAAGAAAGCCGATCAAGAATTAACAGGCTGAATAACTTCTTCTATTTCGGAATTTTGCCTAAAGCACTTCTTGTCTGGTAGTGGGTGGTAATAGTAATCCAGGGATGCTATTCAAGACTGGTGTCAGCTGAATCCATGATTGATGCTGTCACTAGTGAGACTAGAAACCCGCTATACTGTCTGGCTGGCTGGATTCAACATAGAACTTGGCACCGAAGTGCAACTGTTTGAGTTGCCACGTTCCAAATAGCACACAAAGGTAGAAGAGAAGATGGGTGAAGAGAATCAATAGAGTTTTGACAAGTATAACAGTGAAACAGAATGAGTATTGGTAGAAAGGAATATCAAGGATTACACAAGAGACTGAATACATCTGCGTGAGCCATTGACAACGATTTCGAGCCATGTTACCTATTGTCTCCAGCCATTGATTCTTAGAGTCCTGAAGGCGGGCCCCAACCCGGAAGTCTGCATCTCCCTCCCTACCTGACTCAGTTTAACTGTCAGGGATTTCATGGATTGATTGATGGCATGTTTTTGTTTGGCCATCGCTTACTCTTTTCCTACCTGCATTTATATCAGCTAGTAATGCCCGTCGGGGTGGGGGAGGCGATGTTTAGGCATGCGCAGCACGTGACCTAGCCATCTCAATCTATGTAACTTTATAGCCTCTTCGATTGATTTTCCCTCTTTGCCCAATACTCTACGCCTAACGTCAACATTACTTACCTTATTATGCCACCTAACGTGAGAAAGAGATCGTAGACATTTATGATCAAAAACAGTCAACCTTTTCATGTCTTCAACTCGTATTGGGCATGTTTCAGAGTCATAGAGAAGGACGGAGCGAACTGGTGAGCAGTACTCACGTCGCTTGGTTTATAGTCGGATGTCACGCCTACGCCAGAGAAACCTGGTATGCAATGACATCAAACACTGAGACGCCACTTCCAGTTATTCATTCCAAATACTACTGACGCATTTGTTCAAGGAGCCTGTATACCAAAATGAAACTGTCCATTCCCGGTCCGGGAAGATCAAGAGCAGACCAGAAACATGTATATACACATATATACATGAGAATCCACTAGGAGGTAAGATGACAAGATCTGACGACAAGAAGGTTATTATGCAGAATTCCCTTTTTGTTTTCTAAATATACTTTATTCATTCATTCATTCATTCATTAACGGCAAAAGTTGATGAAGGGTTACCAGTTAGAGGAAATATCAACAAGAAACATCCATCTATCTCATATTTAAAGCGATTATTTAAACAGTGACGTACATTTGAAACCTTCATGACAATGTGTAAATACACGGAATGTACAAAAGTATCATAGATTATTGAATTTAATCACCTTAACCTGGCTAGCAAACATGACTGATTGATTTCCGAGGAAGCTAACTACTAGCACTAATCAATAAGTAGTAAATAGCACCACACATTAATTTATGCTTGTTTTCTCATTATTAATATATTATAACAAAAACTTGGTAGATTATGAACTCCAAGGGATGGGCCACAAAAAATCTCATAATTTATGCAAAGCCTGAGATACTGACCAGAATCCCAAAACAAAAACAAGGTGGTTGTCTTATGAGACCATCCTCAAGCTTTTGAGATTAAGTCTGACCTACCAATGTTCCTGCAGGTTCTACCATGCCAGGAAGGTTTTCAGGATAGCGATTAGACTAAAAGCAGTTATCGGTATTGTGGAAGAACTCTGTTTTTACACTATGCTGGGGGCCTGAGGGAGAAGTCGTACTGCCACTGGGGAACAGGGATGTAACAGCAGTGAGGTGTTCCCACCTATGCTGTCTCTCCACTCTGGAGAGAGGGGCTTAGAAAAGGTCGACCCCAAAAATTGTACATCCCGACTTACGCCACCTACGGTGGTCCGTAACCGGCGGTAAGTTTATTAATACATAAAGAAACCAAGAAACCAGTTCATACAGGCCGTGTCTGACCGGCCAGCATCAAGCAGTTGTCCCCTGGAGTCTGCGGCCAGGCAACACTAACCCTCTCTCTGTTTCAGGTACTCAAAGAATCAACCAACTTCCACGGTGTGGGCAGCTGGGAAGTAACAACCGCCCACACACTTCCAAGAGCACATGAATGCTCCACAAGAATCACTTCCAAGACAGTCTGACCTACAAGACAGTGGAGCAACGGAGTTAGGAGCTACTTTTTCAAGTTCTTATACTATTCGATCCATTCGGATTCTGGAGTACACCACAGGTTTGTAATCAGGATTTCCCAGCTCCTCTAGGTAGACATTCATGTATATCAGAATGAGAAACACCACCGTCTCACGGCGGCAGAGAATGAGACTTTCCTAGAAGAAAGTATGTACGATCTGGTATGTAACAGATCATTTATGCAGGATTTCTTGATTGCCATTTATGGCATTTAACAGATCGTATATCGTGAGCTGGATAAAATTTCCATTTTCAAAGGAAATTAGTAGCGAAACTTCACCTCAAAGTTATATGTAGACTGCAAGTCGTAAACTAATTAGGATCAGCTTTTCACAGATATTAATATCAGTAAAAAGTTTGAGCATTGTGGATTAGATCAAATAAAGTATAATTATATTTTAATAGTTTACACACAATGATAAGTTTTGTTATCGGTAATATTTCGAGCGAAATTACTGCCCGTGTTCACAGATACTTGAAGTAACGCTAGGCAAATCGTTGAACTGCCACTGAGCCATACATATATGATTATAAGCTTGGACACTAGTGATCAAGTATGAGGCAGACAGATACAAAATATGAAGGAAAGAGGGCAAAACGCATCAACGATATTTGAACTCTAGTTTCTCTGCACAGCTGATATAGAACAGGCAATACTTACATTTTAATCGTTTTTGTCCAAATAGCTATAAGCGAGCAGTAGTTAAGACTCTGTACTATAGAGCGAGGAGAATCTAGAGGAAGAATTTACGATTCTCGAAAAGGTGTTGAAAAACAACGGTTATCTTCAAAGATTCATTAACAAATATGGAAGATGTGAAGGCTCAAACATCAAACAAATCACAGTGGAAAAAAGCCTGTCTTCATTCAACTACATTTTAAAGGTGAAAACATTACAGCAATGGTCAACAGAAGACTGATTACGTCATCAGCCAGAGCCCATCCTGCAGCTAAGTTGGTTCCCGTCCATCGAACAACATGCTCTTTGGTGCAGTCAAAAGTCGACAGATAGCCTTCTCATGGTAACTCGAATTGTGTATACAAATTTACATGTATCTGCGGGAGCAGCTACACTGGGAGAACAGAAAGAAGGACACACCTCCAATTTTATGAACATGTGTCGAAAAGCCTACGTCTCAAGCGAACAAACTCTTATAATAGCGCTATTACCAGACATCTCGATACGGTTATGAGGTGCAAATCGCAAAATCCTTTAAAATTATCCATAGACAAAGGAGCTCGATGCTCCTCAAGTTTGCCCGAAGCAATTTTTATCAAACGCTTGAGACCAGAATTATATGTTCAGAAAGAAGCAGTTATTAGTCTTTCGTTGCCGCCCTGGCAACTGGATGTCTTTATTCTTTCTTTCATTTGATTACGTTATCTTTGGCTTTAACCTCACCCCCTTAGATACAATGTAATTTTGCTTGTCTCTTCTCTCCATGATTTGAGTTGAACTCCGTACCTAGTTTATTAGTCACTCAGCATCTTACACATCTCTCGTCTTTATTACGTAACTCCTTTACCATTGTATGCATACATTTATTTTGTTTAAACTTGAACTGCCTGTGTAAAAACTATATAAGCGGAATTTTCTGAGCACTTTTCACTACCTGCAGAATTTTCTGTCAACTGACATCATGAAAAGAAAAATTCGCAAGTATGTTAAAACTTTTCTGTGCATAAACTTAATGTTGATTTATTTAGGCTGTAAGCAGCTGAGCTGATGAGAAGCCAACGAAATAAGCAAGGATGGTACCATATTATTGGGCACAAATCTCCACTGTTGTTCTTACTTTATTCAACTAGTCGTTGGACACGAGATCAGACTTACACCTACTGGTAGTCAATCAACTGTACACATATTCTTATTCTTCGCTATTTCAAAAAAAATCCTTATCCACGGAGTGGATGTTTACTAAAGCACTCCCAGATTCACAGATATATTTGAAGTGGGTTTCGGGATAACTTTAAAATTCAACTTCATGATACCTCTGTGATTCAAACATGAGTGCTTCAGGCTGACGAGGTTTAGCTTCGTTGAAATGCGTCATCGTACTTTAGGGTAGTGGAATCAAATCTTACAAGAGTGTGGCACCACTGTGAAAAGACAAATGGACTATAAGAAGAGTTTTAAAATCCATAGATTGAGGTCAAATTCTTCACAACAATTAATTCATATGGAAACATTTAGAAACTATTTAAAATATCAAGCCTTATAAGTAGCTACTAGTGTTTGTTAGCCAGGCCAGAGTGGAATTAATACTCCATGGTCGTTTTATTCCTTCCAAATCGATCTATTCACCAACAATGGCTGATCAATAAAGATCACATACTGCTGTCCGAATAGTGAAATGCCTCAAGAAACTCTTGACTAGAGAATTTTGTACATTTCACACTGTAGTGCTAACGGGGTTAAAGCAGTCCACACTTAGCAACTAATCACAAAATTGAGGTAATTTAAACTGACTTACTCTCCTATGAGATGGATTGACTTGTATACACCAATAATAAGTCTGACGCAATGTAGACCCGAGTGGAAAGCTTTATTGGTTGTTACGAGTGCATAGAACTTAGCTATCCGACACCATACTATGAGCTATGATAATAGTACCGAGTCGTTGAAACTGATGCAGCTGGAACGAGATTCGAACTGGATACTCGTTGGATTCTTAGGATCACTTGCCAAACTATTCAAATCAGTCAGTATTAATTAGCCTTCTGTTGTTTTCAATCCTGAGGTGTTTGAACTACACTCAGTTATCTTAGGAATTAAATGTCTGAATAAAATAAACAGTAGTTTTTAATAATAAAACCACACAGTAAAAACTTGGAGGATCTGAACTTCGCCGATGATATATGTGTCTGATTTCCCACAAACTGGAAGATATGCAAGCGGAAAGCAACAAGTTAGCAGAAGAAGCATCAAGAGAAGATAGGAATTCCTTCAGGTGAACATAGAGAAAACAGAGGTGATGAAGATTCCTGGCCAACAGCAACAACAACAGAAAACAATCAGCCAGCATAAATGGGAGAAATCTGAAAGAAACAACCTATTTTACCTACCTGGGAAGCATCGTTTCAACTACAGGCGGACGGAGCTGATGAGGATATCAAAGCGACGATCATCGGGAAAGCAAATCAAACTTTCATTACTCTCAAGTGTCTGTGTGGAGATCAACAGCACTCCTCAGCATGGAAAATAAGATTCAGATTTTCAACTCCAATATGAAGTCAGTGCTACTTACTATAAGGATCAGAGACTAGGTGCGTTATGAAAAGCACCTCAAACAAACTACAGACCTTCATCAACAGCTGTCTTCGCTCAATACTAATCAAGATCAAATGGCCAGAAAAAAAGCAGCAACAGAGATCCCTGGAGACGAATTAACCAAGCATGAACTGATTGTGCAACAAATCTGCAGGAAGAAATGGAGGCAGATTGGTCATACCAAGTGACACCACACGCTAGACAGTCGCTCGAGTGGAACCTGAACGGGAAACGGCGAGTTGGTCGTCAGTGCGAGGGTGACTTGGAGGAGGTCATGTGAAGAGGAGATGAAAGAATGGGAGCAGATGCGCAGCCAGGTGAAAACGTTGGCAGAGAACCGAACGCAATGGAAACGTGCGGCTGAAGCCCTATGTTCCTCTAGGAACTATATGAAACAATAACAATAATAATAATTTTATTAATAAATAAATATATGAGGACCAACTACATACCTTACAAATCGACACAGCATTTGATTCCAAAAGTTAAGTTTAAATATTGACAGGAGTGTATTATCCCAGTGATGAATAACTTGTTCGTAGGATGTCTAAAATTAGGTAACAAAATACACAAGAACAATGATAATAACAACAACAATAATGAAAACAAATTTAAATTGTTACAAGCATAAATGTGATTTATTAAGTTAACAGCAGACAGAACATGGTTAGAAAATGAGATGCGGCGCGAATTGTACTGAGATCAAACAACAAGTAAGGGTTCGAATGAAATAAAAATCTAAGAGAATATGAAACATGTGCAGGAAGCACATTTTATTATTATTATTATTATTTTTGGATGAAAATTAATGTAGATGAGACAGAATGTCAACATATGAAATAAGAAGTAATTCTATGGAAATAAGAAATAAATGGTTACAAGCTTACAAGGGAAACGCATTCTAGGGTGTAAATCAGCGTAAATGGAAGAGATTCAAAAGAGAGATAATCGACACAAATACGAGGCAAAAAGAATAGTAATATGGAAGAACAATGGAGTTTTATTGGATATGACAAATCATCAGAAAGAGTGAATGCATCTGCCATAGCCATTGAGTACGATTTTGAAACATATCACCAATAGTCTCCAGGCTTCATTGGTTTTTACCATCTCCAGGACCACAACCAGAAGGTATACACCTTCCTACCTGGCTGACTGGCTTAAACTAACTGTTGTGGATTTCATTGACTGATGAAGCCATGTTTTCGTTTGACCACCACTATCTCTTTTCCAACTTGATCCATCCTAAGTCAGCTAACATTGTTGGTCGAGGAAGGTGATGGCCACACAATGAGTAACAATACATGTCCTAACCATCTCAATCGGTGTAAGTAACTTCACAACCTCGTCGATTGATTTCCCCTCTTTAACTAGCACTCGACTGATGCCTAACCCCAATATTGCTCACCCTATTACACCTACCACCTAACATGGGAGATAGAACGGAGGCACCTATGATCAAAGACAGCTAGTCAAGCGTTTCATGTCTTCCACTTTCAATGACCAGGTCTCAATCGAAGCCATAAAGGAGGACGGAACTGACTGCTGAACAGTACACACGGCCTTTAGTCGACAGCCAGCCGGATATCACGTCTACTAAGCTAGAGATGGTGTAAGTTGACAAATGCAACACAGACCTTCTGTATCCGTGCCGAGATTTTGACAGCGATCAACCCGCTGACGCTGGCTGATGCAACTTACCACAAAATAAGTGAAGTGGTCGACACGTCCAGCCACCACTTCATTCCCTATCTCTAAGCTAGGAGTCAATGTAGTGCAGTCCAGCAGCTATAACCCTAAGAGCTACTGTAATCTCAATCCATCTACTCACTTTAATTAGTGCTCCAGTTACAAATGACTAATACTACCGCTTGAAAGTTTTTCTACATTCTTTTTGCTTAACAGTAAATCTACGATATGTCAAAGTGTTATCATATGTGTGTGTAAACAGTGTGATACCAATTGCAAAACGATGCAATCAACTTTGAGATTAATTTCTTTTCTCGTCTGTAACCTCTTTCACTTGTTTTTTCTCATCACCCTTTCAAACTCACCACAAGTACGTAAAGCAATCAACATATTTAAACATTATTTGAATGAAGACTGCCAGTGGAATTCTGGATGTGAATTCCCCCCCCCCTTTTTTTAAGGACCTGCCAGCAGAAAGTAGAAACATCTTTAGGTAATGATCCCATTCAGGAAGTAGTGATTCTAACCTAGCACAACAGTCCTTCATTCCACGGTGCCAAGTCATCGGCTAATCTAATCACACCTCTGATTTTTTTTCACCCAATTCAACGGTTAGCAAACAGTGTGGAAGGGATAAGAGCCGCTGGGATGACATTCATAGGACATGTTCAAGCCAGTGAAGGCGACGTTCTGAGGTGACAACAATTTATCAAAGACAACTTTCACCATGTCGGAACACGCTGTCGAACCTCAGAATCACTTACTTAAAAGATGATATCACCAGATGCAGGCAATTACTCTGGATGAAGAGAGGATTGAATACACAGAGTTATCACATATCCTCAGTTGCTATAGGTCAGGTTTTACAGGTGTAGAGCAATACTGCAAGCATTGAGGCATTGTAAACCTGACTGACTACTGATAGCCAGGCTGATGTCGAGACGACGATAGAGGTGGTGGTCAAAGTTGGTATATGCTGCTTTATCTTTCACTAAATACAGATAAAGACTTCAGCAGTCACATTTCAGAAAAGCATGAGTCCAGATCAAAAGCCACCGCTTCTGACACTTCAGAGAAAGTTTGAAGCCTTATGTTACCACTCACAACACAACAAACAAAAGCACATTGGCGTTTAAAATAAAGCTGTCTAACAACACAGAAAAAATTACTTCTAATAGAGAATTAGCAGAAAAGAATCACATTGTAACAAAATAAAAATATATACATTATGATAAACAAGACAATTCAATATAACTACAATGAAAGTTTTCAGAATGCAAGCGTACGCGCAGGTAAGGCAATTTCACTTCACAACAGAAGAGTAAAAAACATACACCTCAGGATAACTTACAGTTTTAAGTTGTATATCAATTCGCGACAACAGGTGAAGGCAACTAGGAATGGAAGTGATCGCCACACTCATAAGCGATGTATTCAAACCAGCTTCCGTTAAATCAAGCTATAGAGGATAAATAAAATGAAGGAGTCAGCCACTAAAAATCACTGATTAATTGAAAATTATTAATATATACTATTAATAATATTAATATATCATATAATACTTGAAAATTAATCTGATGCTCACTAGCGAGTAAGGACAAATACTCGCCGAAGACATTGGCTAGCGGTCGCGCTATGTCGTGAATTGGCAGAAGTTAGAATTCATGGGCTGGCCATTGGATCGGGTCCCAGTGGCTTAATGATCTACGAGCTGTCCTTCTAACCTGAAGGTCCTGGGTTCGAAACCTGTCAGTGGTTGCGTACTGTTAAAGAGTTCCAAACTAGGGCGAAACAGCTGCCCAGTACTCCCAGATGGTTTTCCAATGGTTCTCTAACCAAATGTCAGCTCATGATGAAAAAGTTGTTATTCTCACTACCATAGACCAGTCCTGTCTTCTGCCTTTTCTGCGGGCTCAGGGTAGAAGGCCCGACCGAAAGCTACTACTTTGACGTGGTGGTCGGGCTTGCATATCGCAATGACCCAACGAGCTATACTGGCTGGGACTTAAGTTCCTGTAGGTCCTACCATGCCAGAAAGGTTGTTTGGATAGCGGTTAGACAAAAAGCAGTTACCCAATCCAATGCTATGACTCAAAGTAAATCACAAAATATCATGCCGGATCGGTCGGGGCCGGGATTAACAACGACCGCGCTTCCTGCTGCCGTGCCACAGGGTAGAAGTGATAAATACGCTACTGAGACACACCAAATAAAAAAGAACAAAAGACCGATCAGGGTAGAAGGAGGTATTACAAGAAGGACAGTCGTATGCAATCTTCAATCGAGTTGAATATTGCCAATTCAGTATCAAACGCATATATATATATATATTATTGTTGTACAGAAACCGCAACCCGATAGCTAAGAATCGAATGCTTTAGTCACCTAGCCTCAAATCCACCTCATGATAAGGAAACTGTGGATGATGCCTAGATTGACGCGCTGAAAGCTCTGTATAAATGAATGTAAATGCTTGTAACAAATTTTTCTTACAAAATATTAAAACTATTAACAAGGTAGGTACTCAGACAAAAATAGAACTTTTCCTGAAACTTACTTCAAAACTCTCCCAAATCGGTGTGATAAGATCACTTTTCATGTGTTGAACAATATGCTGTGCAAGTTGACAACACCAGTTTAATACACTTTCAATGATTCTTTGAACTGTTTGCTGTTGAACTAGAGCACTAGAAGAAAGAGATGAGAATGTGTGGTGAGAACTGCCTGCTAGCCAAAATTGTAGACAACAATTTATGTCAATGGTTACTTCCCGAATCGGGATGGTGAGAAAAAAACAATAACAAAGCTTAACATTGATGTACTCACCAACCAATCACAGTAGCCTTAACGTGCGCAAATATGATTCGCAGATACATGGCTTAACTTTCTAAGAAACGGTCACAAGCAGCGAGAAAACAACCAATCAGAAGACGTTGCTTCTCGCCTAACAACGCTAATAATAATGTACATAAAAATCGACTAGCATATTGAGGAAAATCTCACAAAGAATGAAGTATTCACAATGACAGTCAAGTATCAGAAGTACTTCCTCGAAAATAATCTATTACATGTATTAATTCAGGCGGTAGTATTTCCAAATAGTGAAGAAGAAATCTTGAGAGACACAAGAACAGGAGACTTAGGCGCACAGATTTCTTCAAGAAAATAAGCAGTCTATATAACCAACAAACTTGACTAAGTTTCTTCGATGGCGCATTATTATTTGGTTGCTTGTCAGTCGTCTATTTCCTCATATTTTCCTGTCATTGCCTTCTAAGGACAGAGTTAAAACCCCCTGTATAATAGTTCTGATTCAAAGCATGTATATCAAAATGCTGATATATATGGTACTGATTAACCGACCAGAATTGTCTACCATAAATTAACGGTAAAGTTTTGACGACTATAACTATTTTTCAAGTATCGGTTTTTTGTAGGGATTTTGTTAGATTGGTTGGAGGATTTCATCATGAGCTGAAACATTGGAAAACCTGCAGGGAGTACTGGACAGCTGTTTCCTCCGTCCTAGTGATTGGGGTTGTTTAGCAGTACGCACCTACCGGGGCTCGAACCTGACTTAATGGTCTACGAGCTCGCCTTGTAACCAGAAGGTCCTGGACTCGAGCCCCGGTGGGTGCGTACCGATGAAGAGTCCCAAGCACTAGGATGAAACGGTTGTCGACTACAACTATTATCACAACAATTAGGGTAAACACACCAAGTAGGTGGGCTTACTAGTTGGATCGAAGTGATCTAAGCCCCGGATGGCTGTTTTATACTTCTGTTGTCCAGCTCATCAGTGGCTTGTCGAGTTCGACTCAACTCATAGAGGCGAGGCAGCTCAAGCCACCATCACCACCACCACCTCGACCTGTATAATTTGCAAATTGTGAATTCGACTCTATCACGATACTTCGCATTGTGTTACTCTACTGGTAGCGGAGAAGAAAGTTCTTAAGACTGACTGAAAATTACAGCAGTAGATGGAATATTTCAAGTGGTTTATTTTAAAAAAAATTTGAATTGATATGTATTCTTTATTTTTTGCATCCAAAGTGGAGCATAGGACTTCCGACTTTTTCTTGAAGTTTTAATAGCAACAGAATTGTTTTTAAAGGGTGAAGATCCTGGCCTTACGTCCAAACTTCCCTCTTTTCTGAGCTTCCAACCAACTGGGTGAGGCTTAGAAGTGAGTCAGCTGAAAATCAAATCCGAACCTTTTACACGCTGATAAGGAATCTAGCATTGAACAACAGATGTCTACCATTCTTTTTTTTCACTTATGCATAAAACCTAGTTGATCACACACCCATTACAATCCATGAGTTTCTGAAACTGAAAAAATTCTCTAGAACCCCATTATGTTCATATATATTGACCAAAAGGTAATGCGGACGAAAGAATCTAACAGATACATCAGCCTGTGTCTCATTTGCATTGAATCACTATTATCTATGAAGCAGGGAAAGCCACTAAAGACAACTGTGACTGACTGGTTTCAGCATAAAACTTTGCACAGAAGTTCGAGTTGTCATACTCTATGTACTATACAAAGGAAGACGAAAAAGAGAAAATAAGAGATTCAAAAGAACGATAAGACGAAGAAATGTCAAGGAGAAAGAACAGCAACATAACAATAAGGTTTTAATGGATACGGGAGATCTCAAAGACTGAATGCATCTGAGCCATCAAGAACGATTTTCAGGCATATCTCCAGTTGTTTCCAACCATTGGTTCTTAGAATCCCGAGGACTGCAACCAGACAGTCTATACCTACTTACGTGACTGGATCAAACTAATTGTTAAGGGCTTCATGAACTGATGTCTAGTTGTGGTTTGACAACCGCAAAGCTCTTCTTCAACCTGATCTTATGTCACCTAGAATCGCCCGTCCAAAAAGGTGACTGTATGCGACATAGAGTGTCATCGTTATGTTTCTACTGCCCGGAATGATGCACTCTATTGTAGTTTATTAAACGTGGATCCGACAGTGACACAGAGGAGATCGTGTGAGATGAGCGATTATTGGTAATCGTGGGGCCAGCTTAAGAGGACCACAGAAAATGGGACAGTGTGGAGATGCTCTTTCTGTTGAAGACCTACTTTCCACTCGGAACCCAAGGGAATAATAATCATAATAATAATAGTTTATTAAGACAGAGTTCCCAAGATACTCTTTGAGTATGTCTTCTATAATTCAAATGTATACTTTTATCTTTCAAATTCACAATTTACAAATTAATTCACCGTTCGCAATATACAGACTTCAAGGTAAAATCTCGCCACAGTTTCAATTGAAGACTGAAATTATCCAAATAACACTCACATCAGTCAGTAGTGAATATTCACCTAGAACTGTGTAACATGCAAGTTGCGAATTAATTCGCTAAGCGAGTTCTAGGAGTACGTCAGCTGGGGATTGAACTCCAGACCATATTCGTGATTGGTGAGTATTTTTACCACTGAACCATCGTCAGGTGAAAAAGTCACTTACCAGCAAATATTCTGTAAATTTTCATTGATGAATACACAGTAAAAAGGGAAAACTTACTTCTTTTTATGCTCTATGAGATATCGTGATAAATCCACTAGAAAATAGATCCAACTGCCTAAGAGTGGGCTAAGATAATAATAATAATGATGATCCTCTTTAAGATGTACACCTTGTTGCTTTTCATTATTGATGATAAATTTAGCATGATATAAAAGCCAACATTTTTCTGCAGAGTGGAAAATATTCGATAGGTTTTTCCTGTTCAAAAGAGACATTTATGAGAACAAGTGGTCAAAATAAAATATACATGAGCGTAGGGAGGTTGATAATCTGTATTGATAATTACACATAAAAACAATAGAAAAATACTTGGTATCTGCTGCACAACTCAGAGTGCTGATCAAAATGGACAGATATTAAAACACAAAGTATTCATCAATCATGAAGGTTCTGTGATTGATTGTCCATCTATTTGAAATGTACAAGAAAAAAGTCTGGCGTAGAACTGAATTCCTATTTGTCTAAGCACAAACTAACTTGGTACAAGATAGACACTAAGAGATACAACACATGAAAACAATAAAACGGAATCGAATATCGCCTCTGAACGTTTTTAGTAGCAATCTTCGGATGTTTGGCATGCGATTTGCTCCAGTCAAATGTGAGACGGTGCTACAGGACTAGACTACATCGACACGTAGCTGACAGATGGGGAGTGAAGTCGTAGAGCGTGTTGATCACTTCACTTTTTTTATTGGAAGTTACATCAACTCCAAACGAGTTGATTTCTGAAGAAAATTAAACCGGCTACAGAAGGTGTGTTTGCCATTTGCCAACTTACGCCATTTCTGGCTTAGATGTGACATATGACTGGTTATCGATCATAGGACGTATGTACTCTTCAGTTGATCGTTCCATCCTCCTTTATGGCTGTGAGTGAGATACGGTCATTGAACATGGAAGACACGAAACGCCTGGCTAGCTGTCTCTCTTTGATCATAGGTGTCTGCATTGCATCCCCCGTGTGAAGTGGTATAACAAGGTGAGAAATATTGAGGTTAGGCCTTAGTTGAGTGCTAGGTAAGGAGGGAGAGTCAATCGACGAAGTTGTGAAGTTACTTACACCGATTGAGATGGTTACGACATGTGTTGTTACGTATGCCTAGTCATTGCCTTCCTCGACAAACAATGTTAGCTGACTTAGGATGGATAAGGTTGGGAAAGAGCCAGTGGTGGCCAAACCAAAACATGGATTCATCAATCAACGAACTGCCTAGCAGTTAGTTAAAGCTAGCCAGTCACGTGAGAAGGTGTAGACTTTCTGGTCGGTTGGAGTCCTCGGGATGGTAAAAAACAATGAAAGCTGGAGACTATTGATTATATAGCTCAAAATCTTCGTTGTCAATGGCTGGAGTAGATGCATTCACTCTTTCTGATGATTTGTCTTATCCAATAAAACTCCATTGCTTTTCCATATTACTACTCTTTTTCCCTCATAAACCTGTTTATTATCTCCTCTTTGAATCTGTCTTTACTCTCTTCTCTTGCTTTGTGTGCTACATGGACAGTGGCAACTCGAACTGTTGCACATTTGTGCGAAGTTCTACTCTGAAGCCGGTTGAAAACCAATTTTAAAAAAGTCCAGGAGTATATTTTAAGACACAAGGAAACAACTGAACAATTGAAGACTGCAGGTAGTTTGGTTTTATTGCTCTGACAGTGGCAGTCTATACTAAAAATCTCAGGATTCATTATTATCTCATGTACGTCATCACCCACGATTTTGCTTTTTCTGAAATTTAGTAGCAACTTGTGAATCACCAGGTTTAAATACTCGCAAGAGTAGGAAATACTATTAGAGACCACATTTTAACAGAAATTACATGCCCAAGTTTTAAAGCACACCGCTGTAGCATCTTCACTAGTGATTACGATTCTCAGCCATATCTGATACAAGTTCAAGGCACTGACTGAGTGACTGGTTTCAACATAGAACTTTGCACCAATATGCAGGAGTTCAAGTCGTCACACTTCACTTAGCACACAAAGCCAGAGAAGAAGAAAGTAAGAGGAATTGCAAAAAAGAGACTGTGTATGCACGAGTAACATATGTCCTAACCATCTCAATCGGTATAACTTCACAACCCCGTCGATTAACTCTTCCTATTTACCTAGCAAACTCGACTGGGGCTCAATCTCAACATTTCTCACCTTATTATACCACGTCGCACGGGAGATGGAATGCAGACACCTATGATCAAAGACAGCTAGCCAGCCTTTTAATTATAAAAACCGAGTTTTAGAGTTGTGTGGTTGCAGTTTAAGAAGTGAAAGTACTCACTGAGCTTGCATTGTTTTGTACAAAACTTTCACCGACATCCTAGGTTATCATCTCCCAGGCGACTTTATAGGAGGTGAGTAGGTTGGTATGTTTTGGGGACTAGCTCTATGAATTACTTTAACATGGTTGGTTGATTGTTTTGTAATTCTTCAAGTAGGATCAAATTTCCGGCACTGATTATGTCGACTTCTTCAAAAAAATATGAAAGGTAAGCGAATTATTTTGACCTTTCGTTTCGGTAAACTAAACATCCGATTGGTGCGTAAAGTTCTGAAACTGGGAGTTATCTAGGATGATAACATACTGTTTTCCTAACTTAAAATAATGAATAAGAGAGTACAAATCTTGAAGACTTACATCTCTTGGCTTAATGCCTTCACATGGTACTTTCTAGAAAGTGCGTCAAAAAAATAACCACTAAGCTGTATGGAAGCAGACTACTTTTGACTGGACAGTAGTCAGTAACTAGAGTAAAGTGTCTAGTCCTTTGTTTGGTGGCCACATCGCAAACTTGACTGAGAGAGGACTAGACACTTTACTCTAGTTACTAAATACTGTCCAATCAAAAATTTCCAATGCAGTCCTACAGGAGGTCAATCGCGATCCCAAATAGCTCAGTGGTAACGTCCCTGATTGCAGCACTGCGTAACGCAGGATTGAATCTAAGGAGGGGTATGAGTTCCTTTAGGATTGTAGATACGTCATTTTGTGACTTCGTGATTTGATCTCAAAAACGAAGTGTTTTAAGATGATTCAAAAAGGATACTTTTTAAAAATAAAAATTAGCTAACAATCAATCAATCATCAATTAGTCATATAAAAAGTAAAAAAAAGACTTACTCTAATAGATGAACAGCTTTGTATGATGCTGTTGCCTGCGATACACATACACCTAAACAACGAATTGATTCAATCTGTAGTTGAATAGCCAATTGTAATGGAAGAGATTGATGTATAAAGGCTACTAAATGAGCTACTGTTAAATCCGGGTTATTTATATCGTTATTAATATCACAGTACAAATAAGACAAACAACGTTCAACAAGACAATGATCATTAACCTACAAAAGAACAAGGGGGGAAAAACAACAAGGGCAAAGTTTAACAAATAGACATCACAGGGGATGCGAAGGCACGAGTGTCCTTCAGTCGACCAATCATAGAAATGAGGAATTTTTGCACAAAAAAAATGACGTATATTTACAAGAAAATGCATGAAAACACATTATTGAACAGGGTATCTTTCTTTGACACTTGACTTAAAAATACGTCCCAGTTATAATGAGGAGTATCAGTTGCTGTGTTAGACTAGTTTCTGTACATGATATTCACCGAGGTGACTAAAGATGAGCTGTTTTTGTTAGTCGTTTATCTCTCGCTTATCCTGTTGTGCAGTCTTCCCAAAAAGCTTTCGGTTGAATTACTATAGTTCGCAGTATGCGGATCGACGACTAATTACCAGGAAAATGTGGATAAGAAAACAAATTAAAATAAATGACATCAACTATAAATCTATCCCTAACACTAACCTTAACCTTAATCCTAACCCTAACGAGCTATTAACTTACTTAGTAGCACTCATTTAAGTACAATGCTGCAGAATAATTCATAAAAATAATTTTTTTAAACAAGCAATTCAAGAGAAAAAATGAAAAAAACATACAAATGCTAATAGAGTATTTGGTGAACTTTGAATCCAAACGCGGCATAAACGCAGAATAGACGGTACTGGAGTATTATTCGCTGTTGATAGATGATCAGGACGATTAATTATAGTTGGTTTGGTTCTACTGGAAGAGCGACATTCATTAACAGGAAGGTAACGCGTCAGTAGAGCAGATACTAACTCCGGTGTACGAAAGATCTGTGGAAAAAATAAATTAAATTGGTATAGCTGAAGAGAGGAGAGGAGAGAATGGATAGCACTAATTCATTTATAGTAGTGAGAAATAACTGAGACCTAAAAATAACATGCCCTTTCAAGGAATTAAGAGTTTTCTGATGGATTACTCAGTTCATCTCTGTCTTCATCAGTCTGGGTGCGACTGAGTAGTGTAATCACTTCTCATAACCTGTTCCAGAGTATCTGAGTTCCAACTATTTGTTGAGAAACAAAATGCGGAAGACTTTGTTTATTTTTACACTTTGACGATTGGAATGATGGGTACAGGTTTCGAGTCTTAGTAGGAACACCGTCCATCACTCACTCGGGAGTGCAGATACATCCAATTAACGGGTCCCACATAGGAAGAAATGCGCATCCTGGATTCCACTGCTAGTCCCCGACCACCAAATTACTTCAAATAGCCTAGATCTGTGATACGAAAATCGATAATACTACGTGGTGATTAAACCTAGACAGATTCACATTAAACTTAACTGATGCATTCACTTATCAAAGTTTTAGAGCCCACATGCTTATCAGACATTGATATACAAATACTTTAAGTTGTTAGAAGAGTACAGGATTTTATATCAAATGCAAAACTATGATAAAATAACTGTTTAGTGATCACTAGTCCTTAATAATTATTGAAACAGAAGTTGGTCTGTGAAGAAACACAATATTCAAAATCGAACTGACTTAACCAACCAAGCCAATATCTACTTGTCGATAGGCATTCATCAGATTACAAATGACGTTCACCAGCCGCAAGATGTCCTCTCTCTCTATGTAAAAGATAAGCTCCCCCGTCTGGCCACCTCCACATGCATCTATCAGTTCATCTGCTCTTCAAGGAGCAAGGCATATTGGCCGTAGTCAGAGACGCTTTCCACACAGATACGGGAACATATTCCAGCATGGTTTTACAAGGGAGAGAGGGAGTGTGTGCGAAGCTCTATTCTGGAACACATGATCGACTTCTGTCACTATGTCAACCATGACCATAATTTTAAGATCATCTACCGAATCCATGCTAACTTCCCGCGTTTTCTTCGTTACAGGCTTTTAAGGACAGTGGAGGCCTTGGCAATTCATGACTGTAAGCCAGACCTTTGTGTACAGAAGAAGTATGTACAATCCCTACTTCTGCCTTGGTTGTAGAGGGATAGACATTTATGTATTTTGTTTATTTAATTTTTCTATGTATCTTTCCCTTATTACCACGATTATTATTATTATTACTGTTCTCACTCTGAATTGTTTCCACTTGTCATACATGTCATTCTAAATCCAAAATTATTCATTTTTATTTTTTTTACAATATTGAATTCTATCTCATCAAATGTCATACCATATTATGTAACATTCGCCTACTAATCCTATAATTATATACCCCTTTCCAACAACACCTTATGTATTATTCTATATATGACATCAATTGTTTTACTACTTGACATTTAACTATGATTATAATCACAAATATTTTAATTACATTTCATACTACTATTATTATTTCATGTATTCACGGTTGGTCGGTCGGTTTTCGATATAGAACTTTGCACATGTATGCGGCAGTTCAAGTCACCACACTCCCTCCATTTAGCACACAAAGCAAGAGAAGAAAGTAGAAGAAATGCATAATATAGGCAGTAAACAGAGGTGTGAGACAAAGGGATAGTAATAACGAAGAACAAAACAGTTTCATTGGAAATCATAAGTCACAAGGAGTGGATGCATCTGCGCCACTGAGAACGATTTTGAGCCATGTCACCAATTGTTTCCAACCATTGGCTTTTACCATCCCGAGGGACCCAACCAGGAAGTCTACACCTTCCTACGTGGCTTAAGCTAACTGTTGTGGATTTCATTGACTGGTGCCATGAATTCATACCTTTGACCTAATTGCCTAACCGGATATAATTTCTTAAAAACCATTTGTGTATATACGATTGTACCGCTTGATAATAATAAATTCATTGAAAAGAGTCACTTCGTTGAATATTGTGTTCTTAATGCTACAATGAGAATTATTAAATTATTCATAAAACAGTTGAATCGTATGCTTGAAACAACAGATGCATTCTTTTGTTGCTACATTATAACTGTGTACTAATCTTTTTTATTATTCGTAGTAAGTTACTACTTATGAGACATTTATAATATGAAACAAAAAGTAAAGACAGGATCAAAAACTTGAAAGCCGTTTAACTCATGAATTGTAATTACACAGTAGACGGTGTTGAACGGATCTGAACGGTGTGACCATCATTTCCCTATGTTGGATAAAGCTGCTCGTTGTCAAGGAAGGCAATGGCTCGGCATAAGTAATACATGTTTTGCCCATCTCAATCGATAAGTATTTTGACAACCCCTTCAATTGGTTCCTCCTCCTCCTTACCTAACACACTCTACGCTTGACCGCATTATTTCAGACCACCTGGAACGAGAAATGAAGCACAGGCACTGAAATCAAAGATAGCCAGCTTCTTCACACTTTTCATCTGCAAAGACCATGTCTCACAGTCATGAAGTACACACGCTTTCCTTGATCAATAGCCTGATACCACGTCTACACCACAAGTGACGTAAGTTGATCCATCTTATGAGAATTTGTTTCCTTCCCTTAAACGAATATAATAAGCTGTCAAAGCCACAAGCATTAGCAAATGACATCCAAAACCAAACCGATACTAACGTCAAAGTCTTAAATATCTACAATGACAATTGCTGACTGAATGTCCATACCCCATTCAAATCGGTATTAAATAATGAACGAAGTGCGTCGGTGGCACAGCGGTAGAATGCTCGCTAACCACACATGTGGCCCGGTGTTCGATCCCCAGCCACCGACGCACTTCTACCTTACCTCGCTAAGCTAGTAACAAGACTATTAAGGAGGGAAAGTTGAGCATGAGGCTAGCAACTCCCCGTCCCGTAAAAATAAATACCACTGCTGCCGAAACTTCAAAATTCTAGCTTGAAGCCGCATGTTCCACTCGGAACGTGAAGGAATAAGATATATAAATAAATGGATTCTGACCCAATTGGCTGAGTGCTCAACGAGCGCCATCTCGTAAAATGGAGGTTTAGGGTTCAATCCCCAGTGGGGCGTCATGAGCGCGTACTTCTGAAGACTCCCAAATTAGGACGAAACAGCTGCTCAGTACTCCCAGGTTCCCAATGCGTCTGTAACTGATATCCATCTGTGATCAAATATGAAAGAAATCGAATCCCTACAAACCAACCCTTGAAAATCCTTGAAAGAATTATTCAAGTTATTACAGAAAACAAGTTAAAGTAGTATAGAACATGAATCCCGCAAAAAGAAGACATCACAGTAGTAAATATTTCTACAAGGGAAACATTTACGAATGCTTACCTCATAAGCTACTGAAGGTGAATGACGTATACCTCGGATAATTAAACTCGGCAACCAAAGACCAGCAGCATCCGCTGGTAAGCATACACTGGCACGTCCTTTTCCTGGAGCCAATAACCAAGCAATCCGTCGGGCTAATTGTGAGCGTAAGAAGAGAAATTCAACTGGATCCGTAGCAGCCAACTCGCTGTCATTGCCTTCTTCATTATTACCATCATCATCAGTATTAGCTGACTGTTGAGTTTTTCTATGTGGATTCATCAATGGGACAGGTGGAGCAATAAATAAACACGACTTGTGAATTAATTCAATAGACCATTCATGTGCGTAGTTGAGAAAAATCTATTTAATAAAAAAAGAGCATATTCATAGAAAAGAGGGGCGTTTAAATTTTTATGAAATTTTTTGAATTAATGTAGTAAGTATCATGGACAATAATTTTAGTCACCTATTGTTTCCGCTGACGGAACTTCGACTAACTTTCTCTACAAAATCAATGATTCGCATGAACGCGAAGGATACGCTACCACTGCTGGCCTAATCAAGGTGTATCTATCAATTTACCTGCTTCTGTGGAACTAAGTATGTCGGTCGTACTTGGCGTTTGCTATCCACACGTGTCATTGAACATTTACTCTCACGGTTGTTTTTAAAGGAGAAAAAAGATCCCCTTCCTGTAGAACACGCGACAGAATATATATATATATATAATCATTCAGTTCATGGAGATGAGGCTTATTGCTTTAAGCGGTCGACTTCCATGCATTCCCATGTCTTAGCCATTTCTAGAAGAATATATCGTTTGACGTTTTACATTAAGAAATTAAGGCACTCAGGCATAACCCAACCACTCTTATTACAGTTTGTCAACTCGTGTATTTTACCTATTCTTCTTTACTGTTCACCCTTATTCTTTCCTGGATTGCTTAAAAAGGACTATGTCATACTTCGTAGAACTCTGAAGACTAGCTGTAAGATGTAAGATGATGCTGCAGGATTGGACTTCACCGACCCCTAGATTAGAAATAGGAAGTGAAGTGGTACAGCACGTTGACCGCTTCAACTACTTGGGAAGTACCATCAGCCCCAACGGGTTGATCTCTGACGAAATTTCAGCACGAATACAGAGGGCTAGGTTCGCATACGCCAGTTTTCGCCGTCTCTGGCGTAGACGCGATATCCGACTGGCTATCAACCAAAGGGCGTGTGTACTGCTCAACAGTCCGCTCCGTCCTCCTTTATGGCTGTGAGACCTGGCCATTGAGAGCAGAAGACATGAGAAGATTAGCTGTGTTCGATCATAGGTGTCTGCGTTCTATCTCCTGTGTGAAGTGGCATAATAAGGTGAGCAATATTGAGGTTAGGCGTCGCGTTCTAGGTAAGGAGGGGAAATCAATAGACGAAACTGTGAAATTACATCGACTGAGATGGTTAGGACATGTGTTACGTATGCCTAGTCATCGCCTTCCTCGACAACGGGCAATGTTAACTGATATAGGGTCAGGCTGGAAAAGAGCTAGCGGCGGTCAAACGAAAACATGGCACCAGTCAATGAAATCTACAACAGTTAGTCTAAGCCAGCCACGTAGGAAGATGTAGGCTTCCTGGTTGGGGTCCTCGGTACGGTAAAAACCAATGGTTGGAAACAATTGGTGACATGGCTCAAAATCGTTCTCAGTGGCGCAGATGCATCCACTCCTTGTGACTTATGATTTCCAAGTAAACTGTTTTGTTCTCCGTTATTATTATTAATAATAATAATAATGGCTTTACTGTCTCTTTGTCTCACACCTCTGTTTACTGACTATATTATGCATTTCTTCTACTTTCTTCTCTTGCTTTGTGTGCTACAAGGAGGGAGTGTGGCGACTTGAACTGCACATATGTGCAAAGTTCTATGTCGAAAACCGACCGACCGACCGACCAAAGACTAGCTGTCACTAGGGCGAGTGGTGGCATCCTATTGGGTCATATCGTTGACATCGTCATTGATGATAGGCACTTTATTTCACGCAAGAAATTTGCTAAAGGAATTTTGTCAGACTGTGGGCATCCACTGCAGCACCGCAACCTTGTGTCTCCCCAGGTTTAACAATGAGTCATTTCAGAAGACTTTATGCACGTACGTCTAAATATAAACATTCCACGATACCGTCCATATTTGGCACGTACTTTATGTGATGAAAACAGTGTTAGGCATGAACTGACTAACCTTCTTTTCACTACTAAATAAACTATTTCCTCCTCCATCCTTATAACATCAACCTTCATTGTTATTGTTCTTTGTATATTTATAATCCTCTCAATTTTTTGTTTTTATTTGTTTATTTTTTCATAAGTGTGAACATCATTTAAGCTGTGTTATAACTGTTAATTTTGTATTTCCCCTCACCATGCTGCTATATCAACAGAACATTAGATTCAATACTCTATAACATGGTGAACATTTCCAAACTGAATTGACAATGCTGTTTGAAACAAACTCACTGTTATTACTGTTATTATTATTATTATTATATTTATTATTCTCATTTTGTACTTCGAATATTTCTGACTTAATATCGTAAATGTGAACCAATTCCTCTGGTTAATTTTGTTTTAATTTTATGTATATTTTGAGTAAATCAGATGCAATATTGTGATAAATGCTGAGAATTCCATTCTGTATTATAAGTACTGTTTTTGGAATAAAGTAGATTATTATTAAAACGGGATTCGAACGGCGTTCGATCTATCAACATTTAAGCAGCTATGTATCACTAGCCCTCACGAAATAAGTGTGTCTCCCATTGCCGACTGTATGGAATTGCAAGCAGTTGTTGAGTAAGATTTCATTTCTTTATTCTGTTCACTAGAGATACCTAATTGGTCTAGATCCCCCAGAAGTAAATCTGACCGACCCTAAATGGCAGCAAAATATCCTATACTACATATGCTACACAAAATGACTCTGTCTCATTTCTGGATGTCCTAATGAGCAAACGAGCAGATGGAACAGTATGTAGACTGTTGCATTGGAGACCTACATCAACTTAGTAGTATACTAGCACTTTCTGAATTTTGTTCCCTACCAATTCAAACGTAATTTGGTTAGATGCTTGGTTCACTAGGCTAGAGTTATTTGTTCAAATGTCACACTGGACGAAGAACTCCGTATTATTAGTGATCTATTAAGTAGAAACTGACATCCGACAGAAAATTTGAATAGACAGATGGACTTAGCAAGAGTCAACAGACAAGGGTTCCTAAAAGCGCAATACACTGGAGGTGTTAATAGTGAGGTTTTGTCACAACATCTAAGATGGGCCTTCAAAATGACTTTTAATGAAACTAAGTTATGCTGTTTATTCACTAGCCGACCAATACTCAATTCAAGAAATAAAAACAAATTTCCCTGTTTCACATCGTGCACGTATAGTTACTAATTGAACTGCTCCTATAGAGTTGGTTGTAGATATGATAGAGAAGATTTGTAGCTCAGGTGGATGATTCGACGATGAACTTCATTTCACAACCAACTCTTTTGATGGAGTTGTGTTCTCTGAGCTGGATAGTTAATTTGCGAAGCTTTCACCACCCTACTAGGCGACATTTTCAGCGCATACTTCAATTTGTTGAAGTAAGCTTTTAGATTTCTCCACGAGTTTATTAATCATCTCTCCTGGTGGGTGATCTTGGACGTGATTGATTGTTTTTGTGTCTTTTCACACCTTCTAGGCTACTTGTATTGGAACTGATTGTTTCTTTGGACTGAAGTTTGACCCTTTGTGTGTGACGTTTCTTTCTTATCGATTGGTAAATTTTGTCTATCTCGATGTGTCTATTGATTGACGATTCACTGGAATACGAGTCCGGGCTTCTAAAAATTCTCTAGCATTCTTGTTGTTTCCTCTGCCTAATATTTGAACGCTGGCTGTCCCAGTCAAATTGATGTCCGTGGTTGTCTGTATGTAGTGATATGAGGGAGTGGATATCACTACATACAGACAACCACGGACATCAATTTGACTGGGACAGCCAGCGTTCAAATATTAGGCAGAGGAAACAACAAGAATGCTAGAGAATTTTTAGAAGCCTGGACTCGTATTCCAGTGAATCATCAATCAATGGACACATCGAGATAGACAAAATTTACCAACCGATAAGAAGGAAATCTCACACACAAAGGGTCAAAGTTCAAGTCAAAGAAACAATCAGTTCCAATACAAGTAGCCACCTAGAAGGTGTGAAAACACACAAAAACAACCAATCACGACGTTCAACGTCACCCACCAGGAGAGATGATTAATAAACTCGTAGAGAAATCAAAAAGCTCACTTCATCGAATTGAAGTATGCGCTGAAGATGTCACCTATTAGGGTGATGAAAGCTTCGCAAATTAACTATCCAGCTCAGAGAACACAACTCCATCAAAAGAGTTGGTTGTGAAATGAAGTTCATCGTCAAATTTCCAAATCCCTCCCGTCTTCGTGTGGCAAATGTCTGAATGAAGCTATATGAAGTTGATACCGGACATCAAGTTGACTCTAAGAAAGCTTTTAAAATTATTTATTGTATTTCACCCAAACTTTCTCATGGTCTACGAGTATAACTTTAACATACACAGCAGAGGCAATCAGAATACATCTGAACAAGCCAAAAGAAATTTGTACAGCGCATTTCTTTGCCGTAACCAACAACACAACATGTAATAAATTTTACAAACGATTCCCCCCAACCCCTTGGAACTGTCTTTTGACTTTGTTATTTTATTTCATTGGCTGGAGAATTTTATTTTTATTTTATTATGTTTACAATTCTAAATAATTCATTTAGCTTCTTTAGTAATCGTCATTTTATACATTTCTTGATTGTGTAACATCTTATTGCTAACCTCTACGAATTAATTCTGAATAGTTGATATTAGATGCTTGGAAGCAATCGACAGGAAGCCTTGAACCTAAATTTCGTGCTAGTTGGCACTCACCACTAATCAGCAAAGCGTATCTGCAACTTCGAAAGAACTCATATCTCTCTTCTGAGATTCGAACCCACGTCATCCAGTGCTGAAGTCAGACACATTACCACTGAGCTATTTAGACTCACAATTGACCTCCTGTATACCCATCTAATACCAACAATTCACAGTGCACTGTGATGGCGAGCCACCTAGTATGGTAGCCACATTGCAAGCTTGACTGATGGAATTCAGTCTGCATCGAAGATACGACTAGACACATTACACTAGTTACTGACTAGTGTCCAATCAAAAAACGATGTTATTTATTTGATTGCAGCTGGCAGTGGAATCCAAGGACATTACCACTCACTAGGAATACACAGGCACATCCAGCTAAAGAGCGCCAAATGCAACGAGATGATACGCATCCTGGATTCCACAACCAGTCAATATCATCCAGATAAGTTAGCAATGTGCTCACAAACACACATGCACCGAGGAGACTGTCGAGTGACATTGCCCGTCATGTCATCGCTCGAGTGGAACTCGAACGGGAGACGATGAGTTAGGAGCTTCCAAGAGTAGCATGAAGGAGACCATGAGTGAGGAGGAGGAGGAGATGAGAGAATATGAGCAGTCGTTGGGCCAGCTAACAAGGACCGCAGAGAACTGGACGAAGTAGAGATGCCTCAGTGAAGCCCTATGTTCCACTCAGAACCCAAGAGGACAATAATATGGTCACCAAACTAGAAGACACCATCGTAACACACCTTGAATTGCCCAACACTTGCAAGGCATAAGAGTGAAGTCAAACCAAAAATAGACATACTTTCAATAGAGAAAAAAACATTAAGCAAACCAAAAATATATGTAATAACTCCAACACATTAAACCAACCTCTCCTTGTGTATCACAAATTAAATTAGCCAAACAACGAATACATTCAACAACTAGTGTTAACGATGCACCACCACACGTTTCATTATTATCTCCACCGACAGCATTTGTGCTAGTAAGTGTACTCACAGCTTCATCTAAACACCAGCGTAATAAGAAGAGGATACCACCGGAACCACCACTACTATTTTTCGTCACTTCACTTGAATTTTCAGACAGGCTTGTTTTAGATGATAGCAGACAGGTGATTAGACTAGGCGAATCGATTGGAGCTAAATAACTAATATGCTTGCCACGACGTGTTTGTGCCAGTGCTGATGCTAGCATAGATAATGCCAAGCGACGTTGAGCTGGTACACTGGAACGACATAAGTGAAACATTTCACCAATTGTATAACCAGCTCTCTAAAAAGCAAAGATTAAAAGAAGAAGTGTTAGAAAATTAGAAATAAGTATAATAGTGTATTGTATTACAAAGAAATTCGTTTCCACAATATCTATGGATTATACTTATCCGAAGATGAATAAAGCGCTGGAAATCATATAGATGTATACGCAACTGCATTGATATTCACAAAAGAAAATATTATGTAAGGCAATGGGGTTGCACTGCACATGTTTCATAAACAGCAGTCTGAGATCTACATTTAATTTTCAAGCATTGGTTTTGTAGGGATTTTTTGATCGGACTCTTCAGCAGTACGCACCCGCGGGGGTTCGAACCCAGGACCTTCTGATTACAAGGTGAGCTCGTAGACGATTGAGCCACTGGGACCCGATCCAATGGCCAGCCCATGAATTCTAACTTCTGCCAATTCATGACATAGCGCGACCATTTCGCAATGTCTTCTTCGATGAGTAGTTACTGCCTCATCTTCAACCTGCTGTACCCTGCTGGTCACGGCATCCTACATTTTAAGCGGGTTTCCATAGCGTTGGTGTTGTTTTTTTTTCATAGGATGAGATTGATAGTTTTATCCCCAACCTTCCCTCTTTACTATGCTTACCGCTAGCTGAGCGGAGTTTAGGAGTGAACCTGTTGGGATTCGAGCCCGGACTATATGCGTGGTCCGCAAGCGTTCGACCAATGAAGCACCGACGCATATTAAAAGTGTAAATGCTTACAATTCTACCAGTCTCAATTTTAGACACTTTATTTAAAGGCCAAGTATTTGAACCGATGAGCCACAGCTCCAGATGTTTACTCTGTATCAACAGAAGTAGATCCCTTCCGAACAACAAAGTAAAACAATGGGAAGTGCCAAAAACTAATAACAAACTTTGAAACACTCTACCAGTAAGAAATAACGGCTTTTTGGATTTAGTATTGTGGTGAGAGCTGTCTACTAGCCAAATTGGTAGACAGTAATTTACGTCAATGTTTACGTTCTCAAGATTGGTCGTGAGAAAATATGAACAAAGACTGATTCAAAAACCGACCACAGCAGACTTTGCGTAGGCGGATACAGTTAACATATAGATGATCTGACATTCAAGAAACAGCCACAAAGAGATGAAAGATTAACTTTAAGTGAGAAACAACCAATCAGAAGACTGTGTTTGTTTGCTTAACTAAACTATAATAATGTACATGAAAGTATATAAATATGCTTTGATTTCCTTAATAAACGATCTGTTGCCTGGCCCTTGTCTTCTGTTGTTACAGCATGACTTGTACTATAATAATTGTCATATCAAAGCTAAGTATTCAAACAATTTATGGATATCAAGATAGACTTCTTTAGGAACAGGACTAGCGAAAAGGACTAGACGACTGCTTTGACTTAGCTTGGAACTTTTCAACAGTTTGCATACACAAATCCAAAATGTAAACAATTAACAGCTGCAGTACTAGAAGTGGAAGACATGAAAATGCCAACTGTCTTTGATCATAGATGTCTGCATGACTGACTGATTGGTTTCAACGTAGAACTTTGCACCAATGTGGAGCAGTACGAGTCACCACACTTCACTCAGCACAAAGTCAGAAAAGAGAGTAAAGAGAGACTCAAAACAGAGATAATAAACGGAAATATGAGGCCAAAAGAACAGTAATATGGAGGGACAATATAGCTTTATTGGATATTATCAATCACAAAGAGTGAATGCATCTGCGCCAGCCATTGACAACGAAGATTTTGAGCCAGACATCACCAACTGTCTCCAACTTTCAATAGTTCTTACCATCCCATAGACCCCAACTAGGAAGCCAGTCTACACCTTCCTACGTGACTGACTGGCTTTAACTGTTAGGGATTTCCTTGATTGATGAATCCATGTTTTGGTTTAGCCACTACTAGCTGTTTTCCAACCTTATCTATCCTAAGTCAGCTAACATTGTTGGCCGAGGAAGGTGATGGCCACACAATGAGTAACAATACATGTCCAAACCATCTTAATCGGTATAACTTCACAACCTCGTCGATTGATTTCCCTTCCTTACCTAGCACTCGACCGATGCCTCATCTCAATATTGCTCACCCTATTATGCCACTTAACACGGGAGATGGGACGCAGGCATCTATGATCAAAGACAGCTAGTCAGGTGTTTCATGTCTTCCACTTTCAATCGAAGCCACAAAGGGGGACGGAACTGACTGCTGAGCAGTACATACGCCCTCTGGTCGACAGACAGCCGGATATCACGTCTACTAAGCCAGAGATGGCGTAAATTGCAATATGTCAAACGATCCTTCTATATCCGTGCTGAGATTTTGTCAGTGATCAACATTCTGGCACTGGCTGATGCAGCTTCCCAAATAAGTGAAGTGGTCGACACACCCAGCCATCACTTCATTCCCTATTTCTAGGCTAGGAGCAAGTCAATGTAGTCCAGTCCTGTAGCCTCATCATCTTACATTTGATGGGAGTGAATCACATGCCAAACATTCGCAGATTGCAGCATTATGTTAGCGTATTCATCTAGAAGGACTAGATGTCTGCATTCTATCTAGCGTCTTAGGTGGTATAGAATGGTGACTAATATTGGAGTCAGGGTTCGACTGTTAGGTTAGGAGGGGAAATCAATCGATAAGGTTGTGAAGTTACATCGACTGAGGTAGCTAGGATAAATGTTGACGAGGCATGTTAGCTAGTATAGAACTGAGTTGGAGAAGAGCAATTGGTGTGGTCAAACGAAAACTTGGAATAACCACATGAAGTCGTTGGCTGTTAGTTGGAGCCAGCTACATTGGGTAGTGTAAACTGCCTAGTTCGAGATGCTAGAAGAACCAGTGACTTCAGACTGTTGATGACATGGCTCAAAATGGTTCTCAATAGTGTAGATGCATTCACTTCTTTGTTATTTCGTAGATCCACCCATCTTACAGGATTTTTTTTTACTTTCCCCTAACTTCGTGTGCTAAATGGAGTATAGCTGCATGAACGGGTGCACAACTCTGAAAAGTTCTATGTTTAAACTCAGTCAGCGATTAATCCACGACAAAAACGAACCTTACTCATCATCTTCATTTGTATATGGCAGGGTGTCAGAGTTTCATACATATTTACACGTTGATTTCCTTGAAACATGCATATTCTCTTGAATAAACTACCTTTACAAGAAATGCTTAATAATTATGTGGATTATCGTGTGTGTATAACTTCACGCACAGACAGGTTAGTTAGTTTGCAAGACAACATAAAATAACAATTGTATGGTGGCTTGGCTGCTTAAATATATAGCGAAAATATTCATTCAGACATCTATAAGACACAAAATAATTGAGCAAAGAATATCCTTTTCGATAAATTCCTCCTCTTCTGGCTCTACAATTATATGCATATATGTTTATATACATAGAATATTCTAGATTAGTAGTTAATAACAATATTAGTGTCTTTTTAAAATAATATCGATTTGTAAAGTAAGATCCCAGTGGAATTACCACAGTTTATTAAAGATGCTTAAATTACAATAATAATAAAGATATAATAGTAAATAGAATATCAACTAAAATTAGGAAACTTCCACAAAAATTCGGGATCATTCGAACCTAGATGGCTAAGGTAAGGAGAATGTCTGAACTAACTTCTTTTGGATGCAGAAATTAGGCTTGTTAATGTGGATCCCAACAGCCAGCCTCAGCAATATTTAGTAATCGAACTCTAAAGTCAAAATTGAGATTTGTTGGTATGCGGTAAATGACCCTGAAAGCATGGTTAACATCAATCTTGTGTTCTGTATCCACAAGATGAGTGAGATAAAATAGCGCTGCGAATAGATTTTGTTTGTCCTTTGCTTAACCACTATGCAGGGTGATGTTCGGAAATTCGACGAGAAACACGCCTAATTGTACGGCCTATGTAACTAACTGGCTCCACAGGAGCAGTTAAATTGGTAGATACACATAGAAATTGATATTCTATTTGCTATTATATCTTTATTATTATTGTAATTTAAGCATCTTTAATAAACTGTGGTAATTCCACTGGGATCTTACTTTACAAATCGATATTATTTTAAAAAGACACTAATATTGTTATTAACTACTAATCTAGAATATTCTATGTATATAAACATATATGCATATAATTGTAGAGCCAGAAGAGGAGGAATTTATCGAGAAGGATATTCTTTGCTCAATTATTTTGTGCTTAAATATAGTGATTAATGAATGGTGACATATACTACTGATCGACTGATTTGAGTAGTTGGGTGCCAGGCACATCAATCAGTAGTGCTTGATGGCCAGATCGAAGTAAGATTCAAAAATACCGGGAGGCCGTTTGACGTTAAGCTTATTATTAGAGTACCCGGTTCCAGTCATCTTATAGAGCCAAATCATTTAGAGCTACGCAGATTCTGGTCAGCTATTTGAGTGGGCTGGGTTAATATTATTATCATTATTAGTAGTCAGGTTAAGGATATGAGGTTAAGGTGACCCAGAATCATCCCGTTTAATAGTCTAACCATTTTATAAATACAGTTTATCAACACACTCAGGGGATTTTAACATCCTTTACTCATCTTATTTGTTTAAAGTCATTTGCTGGCCAATTACAAATTAGTATTCGCTACTTTTCTCACACAAGTAGTTACTTACAACATGAAATCTAAGGAAATAACATTCTGTACTTTATATGAATGAAAAAGTGATGATTTCAGTTCTTACCTCTGGTTCTTCACCATGATGATGCAATCCCAAGTGAGTATCTAAAACAGCATTAGGTGGAACAACTAGGCCGGATAAATCGAACCGAGCTTGACGTTCAGTGCTGTCTTTATTCGACTTTCCAATCTCCTCCCCATCATCATCAACATCCATATCCTCGGATTTTTTAGTAGAAGACTGAAATTTGAGGAAAAAAATTGCAATGAGTAAATCTCGTACCAAACGCAGTCAGTTACTAGAAAGGATGGTTGGTTACCAAGCCAGTAATAGTAATAGACACAATAGTCAAAAGGAGGTTACAGTAGGTAGGCTATCCTTCTTCCTACGTAGACAATTTGATTCTTACGCTTTAATTTGAATTATACAATGTCCAAATCAAGTTCACTTTTAACAGTTTGAAAAAATTTGGGTATTGGATATCTGATATTCATTATAATAAAGGTATTTTCTTGTATTTCCCAATGAGTGAATGAAAAACAAAACGATATTACTGTTTTTACTGACGTTCCGCTATCTAATGCTGCTAATAACCTTATCAAAGCAGCTATATTAAACCAGAATTTACTACAAAATCTCAGCTTATATTACATAACAACTTAATCATCGTTCCTCAGCATGGGGTCATATGTTGTCAAGTTAGCCAATTGGTAAAGATAACAAAACCAAGTGTAGATTGTTGGATTTGATAAGGATATAAAAATTATCAAAGCAGCGTGCGTTTACATAATGAAATTGCTTATCACATTCGTGTTGATTTTGTCATTTCATGGGGGAGTGGGGTGTTGTAACCAGAACAAATTCTGTTTTAGTCCATCACATTCCTATTCAGACAATTTGGATTCCACTTGATATGAAGTTCTTCCGATGACATCAGTATTTCAATATTGTCAAAATCAATTTTGTGGCCTGATTCTATAGCGTACCGTGTAGATGACCTATGGCGGGTGATTTTTCAAGCTTTTCTAGTTCAGCTGGATTTCTCCGTGGTTGAACATGGATGCTCTACGGTGTTCACTTCTGATTTTGATTTCTCTCCGGTGATGTTTGTCCGACGTATGTCGCATCAAATTCGAAGTATTTTATTTTATAGACACAATTGGATAGAGAATCTTTAGGGATTTGGTCTTTCACGTGGGCAATGTTGCTTTCAAGTGTGTCTGATGTTTTGAAGAAAACTCCGATGTTGTGCTTATTGAGTACCCTTCTGATATCGTCTAACGTCTCTGATCTATATGGAATGACAACTGTTGAGGCCCATGTCTTCGGAGTACGTTCTCGACCATACTTGATGTCAGTGTTGATTTTGTTGATGTTCTTTGGATAGTTGCTTTGCTTGAGAGTCTCAGTAATGTTTGATGTTTCTTTTTCTTTCTCATCGGTTTTCGAAGAGTGTGCTCATCTGAGAAGACTTGAATTGATGATATTACTTTTTATTGAGCATAAATGTGACTTTTCCACTCTTATTTACTGATAAAATGTATACATTTGACCTGTTTCTTTGATTTCTTGCGTTCCAAATGAAACATACAGCGCCAACTTATGGAGTTTCAGAGGCACTGGTTTCATTTTTATGGTGTAGAGTTGCTAGCTGCTGGGTCAACCTTTTTCCGGACTTATTAACCAC